TATTTAAAAAGATGAATGCTTTATGGAAAAGAAAAGATGAGTTTGAATGCAACGTATGCCTATGGAGATTGGTTATTAATATATTTTATCTAATAGGTTTCAAATATTATTTTGGTCCATGTCATTTTGATTTTTATTTTGCTCTATTTATTTTTGAAATTTTTGTTTATTTTAATCTCTATATTTTTCAAACATTTTTCAAACATTCTTTTGATCTCTGTACTCTTAATAAGTGATCATTTTTTTTTTTCGTTTTCAATTTTAGGATTACCCTTCACTCATATATTAATTTAACTAGTCATAAAATTGTAATAAATGGTTTCCACTGCGTATTAAAATTACATAAAAATGAGTGCAAGGGACTTTCCAATTGGTCATCCAATTTAGTATTACCCTCGTTCAAGCATGATTAAATGCCTAAAAATGATTATTTTTAAACGTTGTTTCTAAACCTATTTAATATAATGGGTGCGTTTATTGTTCATGGACTTTAGTTAGAGTTAAGCCTCGTCAAAGTAATTGATAATCCTAGGATTCTTTGTGATAATATTTTGTATCCATTATTTGATATTTCATTTTCTGTTTTTTATTTTTTATAATTTCGTTTTATTGTTTCTAAAATTTTACAACAATAAAAATGATAAAAAAATAAAATAAAACAAAACAAGTGAATGGTTGGTTGATTAAGTTGATATTTTTTTTTAAGTTATAGCATCACCAAATGAGGCCTTCATTTTTTTGTTCTCTTTTTATAATAAATAATTTTGTTTGATTAATACCAAATTTCTACATGTAATTTGTAATTTTCCAAGTGCTAATGAAATTTTGCCAAATTTGTTGACTTATAACATAGTATAATTAGTTAAGATATTAATAATATACTTTATGGGTTTAAAGTTTAAAACTTCATTCTTACCTTTATTTTTTAAAAAGAAATATATTTTTAAAGCTATAATTTTAAAATTCCTTTTTTAGATAATGATAGCAAATAAAGGACCACCTAGAAGGCAGCTAAAATTAAAATATAAATGTTAACAAATTTGGCTTAGTTATTATTTCTGACATCATCCTTTATTCTCTCTTTTTTTTTTCTTTTTTCTTTTTTGTGTTTGGGANGGTCTTGTTTATGATATAATTCCCCTGATATTTTTAGCATACATGTAGGGTAAAAGATCAAACTCATAACATTTTAGTTTGAGACAACTTCCTTAAGTTATTGAGTTCAAATTGATATTTTTCATATTGTTTTTTTATTATATTCTAATATTTTCTTTTTTTACTTATAAATTATGTATTCATTTTCATGAAAATGAAACATATAATTTTTAATATTCTCATTCTTTAAAAGAAATTTTCAAGTCATCCATCAAAACATAAATCAGTAGATAATACACCTATTACCATTTCAAAAGTAGATAGTTTATCTTCCACACTACAATTGAAGCTAATTTTTTTTTCCTAGTTACTACTTTTCATAATTTTTTTAATTAATTCTAATGACTAGCTAAGAGATAACAATCAAGTAAAAAAAAATACCAAAATTAAACAAACACTAATGTAAATCATTTTCACAAATTCCATTCATCGCTTTAATTTTTTATTATCTTTAGCTTTTTGATAGATATATACAATTCCTTTCGTCTTTAATCCGAAAACAGAAATTAATCAACCATGTTAGTTTAGATTTAGGTTGTATTTGGTGAGTACTATATATATATATATACATGGATAATTCACATAAAAAAGGCAAGAAAGGACAATATCTTTATATGAGAATCTCTTTTTCTTTTTATATCTAAATTTCATTTTCTTTTATTTCGATGACCTACTTAGTTATAGATATATTTCAATTAAATATATAATTTAAAAAGTAACAAATAACCCTAATATGATATAGAGAACTATCTAATTTAATTAATCAATATATTACTAACTAATACCTCCCTCTTTAAACTAGGTTTGAATTCACAATTTAAATTACTGCAAAAAATAATGATTTAGAGTTAAAATAATGACATAGATATTTAATTTTAGAACTCACATCCTATCTTTTTCTTATCTAATTTCTTGCAAGTCTATCCATTAGCGTTACCTTTTAGAAAAGAAGCCTTTATAACAATCAAGCTTTGATTGCTTTCATGGTACGTTCAATTTTTTCACATAAAAAATTCAATCTTTGACTAATTATTTTGGATGCTTATTCAGACAAATAAATTAAATATTAAACAGAACTCCACGAATATCATCAAAATATTCTTAGACTTCGTTTAGTTAACCGAAATAGAATAAAAATCAATCCGAATGAAAATATTACTTTTTTAATATTATTTACTATAATTTTTTTGAAACTAGAATCATAAACCTATTGATATTATTTACTAAAATTGTCAGGAATCACAGTAGAATTAGATATATAATAAAATTTAGAATAACTCTTTGTTATTTATACCTAATTATAAATACACTAACTAGAAAGTATACTAATATATTTTTATGGAGAGTATATATTTAATAAATAATTAAAATAAAAGTACATCAATTAAAAAGATCAATATAATTTTTATTCAACGTCATTGAATTAAAATAAATAAAATTTATTATTATAATATTTAATAATTGTGAATTCTGCTTTACTAAAAAAACAATTGATATTAATTGATAATAAAATAACACAGTAAAATTAAATAAGTGATGAGTTAAATTAGTATTATACTTGTTTTTCCCGACTATTCAATCCCATAAAAAATGTGAGTCAATTATGCAACAGTAGTGTTGATATTTTCCCGTTAACTTAATTTTGAAAAATCATAACATGGATTTATCTCAAAAAAAAAAAAAAAAATCAGAACATGGATGATGTCCCTATAATAAATTACAAAAATGAAGACTAAACGAGATGCGAATACTAATAATGATATAAATTATATCCTTTGTCAATTCTTCTGAGAAAATGCATCGACTTTTACATATCATACTTCATTGAAATAGTTTTTATTGTAACCAAATTTGCAACAACAGAAAAATAAAATAGTCCTCTGTCTGTTAAAATGGGCCTAAAACTTTTGGGCTCTAGCACATGGGTCAATCAGGTGGATCTCAGACTTGGGCCGACAACAGTTTTGGATCTATAGCCCATTCATATGGAAACTACAACCAAAGGACATTTCGGACAATTTCAGTTTTGTTTTATCAAAATATATTGATCTCTCATTCAAACAATTACATAAATAGAAAAATAAATAAAAATATATACACATTTATTTAAAAAGAAAACAAAAGACTTTCAATCTACCCAATTTAACTCTAACAAACATCAATAACCCATTCATATATTCTAATTATTATTTGAATTGTAATATTGCAAAAACAATTCCTTCAAATATTTTTTAACAAAATTGAATTGGCTGTCATTTTCACTGAGCACTTTTTAAATTTACAATAAATAACTTGTTACTAATTAATTGACAACTACCCATTTAATTAATTTATGGCAAGTAATAGTAACTTACCAAACTTACATTCCTTTTTCAAATGCTCGATTATTGTGCATACATTAATTTATTGAAACCACCTGTATTATTTTGACACATTGTTCATATGTAGATTAGAAGAGCAAATTTTCACAAATTTTATTGCTAGTGGAGTAGGTCAAATAATTCGAGTTTATAAAGTAAAAAGTCAAATAACTAGGTTGCTATAAGAGCAATTAATTCAAATCGTGTGCTAAGATTTTTAGTTGTTATGAGGTAATTAATCAAATGTGTGGCTATAAATTAATTAATCAAGGGTCAATCGTAATTGAATACTAATTTGAGTTACTTGTAAATAATTAATAAAATTTTAAAATCATAATATGACAACTTGTTCGATAATCAATTGATAAATTGTGCATCAGTGAAAAATACAAACGTCATAGGACTAGGTTGGGTCTAAACCAACAAAGTTTTTATTGTTTTTTTAATAATTTAAACCAGCTTATTTTTATATTTAATGATTTTCAACGTTTAGATCGGGAGGACAATTTTGAATAATAAAATTTGACAATTATTATAAATATATTTTTTCTGTAACTTATTTGACAATTTTAATACATAAGAACATAAAAGAATTGGAAAAGGAATCGATATAATAAAAAGAATATTGTTTAAAATCTCATTATTTAATGACATGATTACATAATATATTACAGTATTTACGATACCGATTAGTTCATTGAATTTTAATCAATAAGTTATTGAATTATGTTTCGTGGTTTTCGAATTTTTTAATGAAATATAACATTAAATATTTGTGCTCAATTTACTAATTAAATAACCACTATTTACGTTAAGAGTTATGTGAATAGTCAACTGCAATATGTTATCAATAGTATATTTCAATAAATTATAGATTTAGGTACTCAAAAAAAAAAATTATAGATTTATAATAAACAACCATTAAAAATTGTTGCCAATTATAATTTGGTAGCTACTGAAAATTAGTAAGTTTTTTTTTCGGAGGAATGAGTATTAGTAAGTTATTGTTTATTTCCTAAAACAAATTATAATACTTCCTTCGTATAAAAATCTTCACATAAATATTTTCATCTTTCAAATTGGTCCAATAATTTCAAAAAAAGAAAAAAAAAATTTCACCCAATAATTTCAAAAAATAACAAGTTATTAATCTGTTCTTAAGATTTTTTTTCCCAATTGGTTAAAAAAAACTCTAATAAATAATGTTCCTAGAAATAATTTCACATCTAAAATAATTATCAACTGATAGATCGTTAACCTTAATTTTAGTTTCATTTTTTCCAGCTAAAATTTAGTTATTCAAACGGCAAGCTCTTAAAGAAAATTTTGAGAATTTATTTGACACAGAAATAAAACTATTTTATTATTTTGAAAGAAATACTAAAAATAGAGAAAAATTGAAGTGGTACAATAATACAAATATATTTGATATTAATGGGATTTATTTAATCACATGTCTATTTTCTATAATATTTGGCTACACATGGTATTGCGTTGCTGGAAATTCTGGGAAACAGAGTTAAGATCAGGGCAAAGATGGCCACGTGTTAATGATCCAATGGCCCACAACGCGTAGCTTTTAATGAACAAAACCATTGCCTATCTGGAGCTGTACTCGGACGGGCGGAAGCTCTGCCCGAAAAAACTCCCGCTAGGTCTTGGCCGCCTGCCCCTGCCCGAGCCCTGCCCGCTCCCGCCCCCCTATTGCTTCGTCAAAACACTCGTCTCCTAAAATTTCTGCTAAAACCTAAACCCAATCTCTCTCCGACAACTAGCTATCATTTTGGATTCTCATTGCGCCAATTTCAGTTTCTCTGTCTCTTCTTACATCAAATTTCCTCCGTTAATTTCTCATTGATTCGAATTAATTTCTGTTTCCTTCCGATTGCTTCGTTGTACTGGAAATTTGGAGCTTTAGTTTTCAGTAAAATGTTATAGATTCATGTAGTGATAGTGAGATTTGGTTGCTTAATGGCGTCGATTCGGAGGACACTGTCGCCGGCGTATCCCGATCGGGTGTATCCGAACGGAATCCCGTTTTCAACCTCTTCGCCATCTTCGAAGCTCAATGCGAAGTACTCGTCTCCTTTTTCATCATTTGCCGTCGGTGCCCGGAGATTTGTCTCCGGAGCTTTCTTTCTAAGGCATCCTTCGCGGAAAGGTGGTAATAGTTGGCGGAGAGCGTTCTTTAGATGCTGCGTGTTCTTCTTGCTTGGCTTCTTGCTAGGCATGATGCCGTTTGGCCATGATGCCGACGACATACGTAGCCATGATTTCTCCTTCGAGATCAAGCCGCCGCATGTGAACGCGCAGTTTGAGAAAGATAGTCGTGGTCAGGTTCGGCGAGAGTTTTCAGTAGTCGATTCAGTCAATTTGTTGGTCAAGCCGCCTCCCGAAGTGAATTCGACCATCACTTCGGTGCCGAAGAGGCAGTTAATTGTAGTGACTCCCACGTATAATCGTGCACTTCAGGCCTATTTCTTGAATAGGTTAGGCCAGACGCTGAAGCTCGTGGATCCTCCTCTGCTATGGATTGTGGTGGAGATGAATTCTGCGTCAATGGAGACTGCCGAGATATTGCGGAAAACGGGGGTTATGTATAGGCATCTGATTTGCAATAAAAACATGACAGACGTGAAGGATAGGGGAGTTCATCAGAGGAATGCAGCATTGCAACACATTGAACATCATAAGCTTGATGGGATCGTTTACTTTGCGGATGATGACAATATATATTCGTTGGAGTTGTTTGATGGCCTGAGAAAAATTAGGTAATTGAGCCCGTTCTGATAATTTTACGGGTTACTCTTTTCTTGAATATAGACATAAAATTCGATCATCTTTGGCTATCATGTTCGCCCTACCAACATTTTTCTTTCTATCGTTTGCTCATTTGTTGTCAATTTTATCTGTTGCTTTTAAAGTTGTGGACTACTTGATCTGTCCATTTCCATCATTATTATTATTGCATTTGCTTGTATATTTTATTTTTTTGCTTTGTATTCTCGGTATCTGGTGCGCTTTCATTTCCTGTTATCGTGGCAGTTTTATAGCTGAGAAAATAGTGCACGTAACACACCTTTGATTGCGCAACTAATTTTTGTTTATTTATGTGGGCATCCCAATAATTTCTGGCTCCGTTTAAATTGACTGGAATGTTGAGCGAAAGTGACACCGATTAACAATCACTTTGTTGGCGGTTTTTCCACGAGAGTTGTTGTACCAATTACAAATTTTTCAAGAGCCTAACTCGGTCTTTCTTTTCACGAATCGAACTTTGTACCAATACACTCACTTATTACTGTGATGTCTTTTCCTTGGAAGTCCATGTTAGGGTCCCTCGAACCTTAATTTCATAATATAAGTTTCTATTATATGGCCCTTCCGGTCCTTCCCGTTGCATCAGTACACACTTTCAGTTGCTGTCATTTGAAATGTTTAAGATATTGCTGTCCTATTACTTAATCATAAGCTTTCAAAATTTGAGGAAAAGCTACATTCTTGGAACGCAGTTCAGGCTTCTACTATTGCTGATTTTCCGGGATGGGGTGTTAATGATTTGGAATGCTTTGTCATCTTTTAAATTCCTTTCTGCTAGACTATGCAACTTTTATTTCTTTTATTTGATAGTTTGAGCTGGAGAGAGCCGTTTCTCTTAACAAAGCTATTGCTTCCAAACCAAAATCATATTTTGTGTTCTCTCTACATGACTAAGATTTTTGGTCCGAATTTCTAATTTTTGTTTACTTTGAAGATTCCTTTATCTTAGTATGCTCATCTTTCAGCCGCTTTGGCACTTGGCCCGTTGCGATGCTTGCACAAAACAAAAATAAAGCTATTTTGGAAGGTCCTGTGTGCAATGGAAGTCAAGTAATTGGATGGCACACTAATGAGAAAAGTAAGAGGCTCCGGAGATTTCATGTTGATATGTCTGGATTTGCTTTCAACAGCACCATCCTTTGGGACCCGAAGAGATGGAGACGCCCTACTTCAAAACCAATTCGACAGTTAGACTCTGTGAAAGAGGGTTTCCAGGTATTATTATGTGCCGTTTCCATAGTTTTTGAAGTTGTCATTCACATGCATGCAGTGCTATAATTTCTTTGCTTTTCGCTCTTTTTTCCCTTTCTTTTTTGCCAGGAGACTACATTCATCGAGCAAGTAGTAGAAGATGAAAGTCAAATGGAAGGTGTGCCTACCGGCTGTTCAAAAGTAATGAATTGGCATCTTCATTTGGAAGTTCCTAATTCTGTTTATCCCAGTGGTTGGGTGTTTCAGAAGAATCTCGATTACGTCCTGCCAATTAAGTGATCAAACCTTGCCATTGCAGTTTGAAGCTTAGAATTTGAGACAGGTACTATATTCTTGAGGCAACCAGGCTCTTGCAAGTTCTTTATCTGTAAACTCAAAGAATTCAGGGTGTGAACCTGGGTAAACGTGTTGATTTAAGGAAATCTGATAATGGGAAGCCTCCTTATAATCTAGAGGCTGAGGCTTTCCCCCATAAAAGATGTAAAACGAGGGAGGAAAAGACACAATCTATATTTTATCTGATTCTAATACTTACAGCTTCTTCAATTTTTGGGCACTTGAAGTTCATTTCAGTTATACCATTTGTTAGTAGTAAACAGAGTTGCTGTAACAATGACATAGTCCTTGCTTTCTTTCATTGCAGTTTGATCTAAATCTCAATTTTGGTGGCTTTTGACTCCCGATTGGATCATTGCTTTAATTGCCGCTGTTGGTGATGAAGAGTTCCATGCCTAGCTTGGCTTTCAACACAAAGGAATACAAGTTTATCATTTTTACTTGTAAGAATTTTCTTGCATATTCTTTAACAGAGATGAGTTTCGTTTATAGTTGTAGATTTTTAGTGCTTAGAGAGTTTTTAATTTCTCAATCTTCAATTGTTACAGCAAAACCTTCCAAATAGAGTGTGGGGCAGGGTCTATTGTATATCTAAACTCTGTATTTGTTGTAAAACCGGTTGGTGATCGAATCAATGGGGCCTAATCAAGTAAGGCCACTTTCTTCTAAGCTGTAAGATCGTTTGCACCATTATTATTCCCTATTACCCTCACTGTTTCAACACACACCATTTTTTAATACTTTAGAAGGTGCTTATATATTCATAATCACCTGAATTACCCTAAAAAGTCAGCCCCTATGTATTCATCTCTTTGCTTTAGAAGGTGCTTATATATTCATAATCACCTGAATTACCCTAAAAGTCAGCCCTATGTATTCATCTCTTTGCTTTTGACGAAATGTCACAAATTGTTGGGTTTGTAAGGTGATTGCAAACAAAGTTTGCTACGGAAAGGAATGATATGGGTATATAAGAGAGGACAATTATCTCTTGGTACGAGGACAATGACCGCACAGACCGGCAAGGAATGAGTCGACTAAGCGATTCAAAGCTGGATTGTTTCGGAAACTCTGGCATGGCGCCGTGAACTCTTGCAGTCTGAAAGAGGACTCCGACGCCATTGCCGAGGATTTCGGTGTTGTTTTCGCCTGCTCCGGCGAGAAGGTAGAACTCTGTTAGGGCTCTGGAGAAGGAGGTTTTGAGGTCATCAGAAAGCCGAAGGTCGTTGTGGGTTGCGTCGAGGGTGAAGAAGACGAGAGAAGTGTATGTGGAGGGGGAGAGCTGATCAAGAAGTGAGAGTTTGACGGATTTTAGATGATGAGATGGTGGTGAAGAAGATGGTGCGATGGTTTCTGTGGATGACACATTAAAACAAAAAGTTAATGGTAATAGATTTACTAGACATAAAAATAAATTTTTAGGAACTTATTAGAATGTTGTTAAGATATAGAGACTTAAATAAACACAATTTTGAAACTTCAAAAATTTAATAGAATTTTTTTAAAATACAAGGCTTGCTAGACAGAACCCTGATTTAATATTTTTGGATCAGATTGATTTAACTAACAATTTATTCTTAAATATACTGGTGTTTTTATATTGTTACAAAAATATAATTTCTTAAACCTCGATGATTATGTAGAGCTATTATTTTATTTTATTTATATTCTGTTTTTGAATGGGTTGTTTTATTTTATTTAAAAATTAAGTAATTAATAACTCTGATACAGATTGAAAGATATCTCCACGTTAAAAATAAAAAATAAAAATTCCGGACCAATATGCTGATAAACACCTATTTTAATAATTCTAGAAAAAAATCCAACGAAAATTCAGTAAATTTGGATAAATCTTATATTTGAATGAATAAATTAAACAAAAAAAAAATGATGGCGCAGTCGCTGCTGGGCCACAAAAACCGGAAACGACGCCGTAGCTGAATCCGGTTCCGAGTTGAGTAGATTTTCCAGAGGAAAAGGGAAAAGGAAAAAGGAAAAAGGAAAAATAAAAAAGTAGAATGCAGTGATATAAATTCTTCCACCAACACTCCACTCTCCACTACCAAACGATCGAAGAAGAAAATTAAACTCGCCTGTCCCCCGGTTCGGTTCAACGCAGTTGAAGCATGTCATCGGATATAGAATCACAGCCGTCCGATTATCGACATTTTGGATCTGTTTGCAAATGCTGACTTTCTGTAGCTGAAATGCAGATGCATCTCCCTTTGGATCCAAACAGCAAACCACTCCCCCTCCTGTTTATTCCCAACACCATCTCCATCTCAATCTGAAGTACCAATAATCATCGATGAACCGGAAGTGGAACTGGGGACGATCTCCTATTTATTCCCAACACATGTCCATCTCAATCAATCACCAAAAACAGATGAATCGGAAGTGGAACCAGGTTTATACGATCTCAAAATTGGTGCACTTTTAGACGTTGTGGATCTTCATTTGGATGTACATTGAAGTGTATTTCACCCATCCTTTTACCGGTCGAATTTTGAAATTCCCATCACTTGATGGCGACAAACTCTATCCTGATGAAGAGGATCTTAAACTACCTTGGCTAACTCCTGAAGTCCTCGAGGCCTCATACTTCAAGCCTGACGAACACATAGTTTTCAAAGCCATAATGTTATGCCTGACGAACGCATAGTTTTCAAAGCCATAATGTCCAAAGATCCCGATTTATTCCCCAATGACTATACAGCCATTGCTATTCACTTTGATTATAAAATATTCTCTTCAGTTAAACCCGGCGCTAAATATTGGGTTGAAATAAAAGATAAAGGATTGCACCGCTTTTTCAAATGTTATTGTTTATAAGGGCTTGGTTTATGGAGTGACCTATCACGGTGGACTTGGATGTATTGATGAGATTTTGACCACATTGACATTAAAGGTAAGTTGCACGTGATTGTACCAAATCACATGAAGTATACTCAGACGACTTACTTGGAGTCGTCTCAAGATGAATTATTACAAGTTCGAATGTTAATTAGCAAGACACTCGATATGTTTATTATGGACGAGACTCATTTGACATTGAGGATTTGACATTGAGGTTTTTAAGCTCGTGGAGGATGAGGGGAAGATGAAATGGTCTGAAGTTTATATAGCTCGGGAGAAGATGCATTGTTCTTGGGCAGACAACTATTCAACTTGTTCTTGGGCGACAACTATTCAACGTCTATTTTGGCTTCTAATTTTCCAAATTATATTTGCAATCTTAATTGCATATATTTTACAAATAATTTCTATCACCATGGATATTCATACACCAATGTAACAGATGGTTTGACATCGAAATCTACAATGTATCTGATCGAAGTTTTCAATTACATTCTTTGATGTCCTCCTCACCCGCTTCTTACATCCAATTTGGTTTCTACCTCTTCAGAGAGCTCATCTTGTGCCTTAACTAATGAGGTTATTTTTCTTAGTGTTTATCTTCTGTTTTTATTTATGTATGATAATTACAAAATAAATAAATATATATTATATGCTTCAAAAAATTTGCATGGGTTATTATTAGAAAAATGGATGTTGATAAATGTTAGAAAGATGGATATTGACCGGTAGTATAACCTATTTATTTTTATAAATATATTTGAATGCTATCTTACCATGTTTATATTTCGAAACAAATTTAAAGATAAATGAAAAATGAAAAATAAAAAATTAATAGCATTACTAAAATAACTTTTTAGGCTAAAGGCAAACATTCAAAATCTATTTCACCTACATGTACATTCTATGAAATTAAAATAGATTCATTTTTTTTTCCTTTAATCATTCTTACCTGAAAATGGAGCAATGTCTTTCAATTCCCAAATTTGGCGGAAGTTGTTTACAATGTTAAATGTCTATACGAAATTACAACTTCGCCGCAACTGTGTCAAGCATGAGTCCAACGATCTCCATCACTGACTATACTATATATATTCCCATTAAAAAGGCGTTTACTTTCTACTGTTTATTCGAAGAAGACGAGAGAGGGTTCGGAAGACATTGTCTGACGTCCAGTGTCTTTTTCCAAAACATATGAACCTCCTCAACGTTGAGATGCTCCGCCTCGGGTCTGCAACATCTTCTTCAATTTTCTGTAAAAAAAAAAAGTCACCCAAATCCGCTCGCACGAACGATATTCGATCGACACTGACTTACAGACTCGATAGCAACATTAAATGTCCAAAACAACGGGTCTTTGATGCAATGTCATGTCGAAATTTGATTGGAAAAAAATGAAATAAAAAAAAATTTAATGACAAAAATAATTCCTTTTAAAAATATAGGGATCAAAATAAATATTTGAAGAAATAAAGAGATTAAAATAGATATATTTTTCTTTTAAATATAAGAACTAAAATAGACCTTTTGAAATATTATAGACAAATTTTTTTAACCTTAAATCTAAGGTTACACACTCTCCAACTCTTCTAATTTTCATGGAGTTTAAAATGTCATTGAAATATCATGAAAATACCGAGGTTTCGATAAAATCTACAAAATATCGATACTCAATGGCCGGAACAGGCCTGGCCCTACTAGATGGTTGAGCAAAGTGAGGGCGGGAGGGGAGTGCGTCCACCCACATGCGCCTGTTTTTGTTTTTTGTTTCTTTATTAATTTAATAATAATAATAGTAATATATTATTATTATTATTATTATTATTATTATTTTATCTATTTATTTTAATTTTTACTATTGACCTATTTTTACTGTGGTTTAATTTTTCTCCATTCTTTTTCAAATTTAGTTATAAAATTTTCAAATTTAGTTATAAAATTTTTAAACTACATGTATTTGTAATTGTCCGTATATCAATATTTCATATTTTATTCAATTATGCAACTAAACACTATATTTGGTTATAAATTATCAATTATCAATTATTAATAAAACATAATTAAACAATATTGAACTTCAATTTACTAATTAAAATTATTTACATAGATCTTTGTTATCTTGTTCCGACATTTATCGAGACTGATTTTTTCGTACTCATTGGTTAGGAATGATCAATTAAAATACAATTAAAATTTTATTTACTAATTAAAATAATTTTGATTAATTTTTACAATTATCGTGACTTTTTCTCAAATATCCGTCGACATCGACATTTCCCTAAAATCAAAATCTCGACATTTCTATCGACATCGACATTTCAAACTTTACGTGGAACAAACATTTTAGTTTCATTTATTGCATTCGGAATCTTTTTTTTTTAACAATATAACGTTACAAATACAGAGAACAATTGGTTGACTGCATTCAACCTAATGATTTTCTAGGTAAAAAAAATGTGCTGCGCATGGAGTGAATGATTCAGGCATCTTATTATATCAATTCAAAGGAATCAAATCTGCAAAAGAAATGAAAAACGTCATCCAAAGAATAAGCTAGAAATCATACTGAGTGAGAGGGTGGGAATAAATAAATTTAGTAGTCTAAAAGGCCATATAGTACAGTGAAGGGACTCTACCGAGCAGCACCCGGTACCACAAATTTGAATACGACTAGACTGGACAAATATTAGTAAAACGTCAAAATCTTCAAAGAATTGGACAGGCCAAATGATAAAACGTATCATTCCTTGGAACTCCTTAATGCAAATATGTACACCTACCTACAAGAATCAGAATTTCCTTCCCCACTCATTTTGTGGGGATGGCTATAGGTGAGGTAGAAAACTGGATTCTTTTGAATGGTAATCTGTGGTCACAATCTCCGGGTTCACATGCCACAGCACAGACTGATAATCGAGGATTTTGAAGTGATTGTCAGCATAAATTATAGTCAAAGCAATCAAACAGCCACAGGATGATTGATATAGCTGGCTGGGACCATGGACGGAGGATAAATCGCCTTTGTACTTCATAGAGCTGGTTAGTTGATTCCCAAGTTCCCGAGGCTCGCTATTTTACCACTCCGGAGTTGATATGTGAACCAATGATATTTGTTCAAACTTTACAAGGTGAACAGAATGCGGTTGCTACAAATGTCTTTCGTTTTCAAGACCCAGAACTGCGAGCGTTGGTCTGCCAAAACGCAAAGTGTTTCAAATTAACTAAAACAAGACTTCTGAACTAATCTCCAAATAACAGCATGTCTTGGGGTATCTATTGAGTTGCTAGAGTTTAAGGATAAAATCATCAGATTAAAAGCTTATATAGAAACAAATCTCATATCTCAAGAGTGAAATTGTAGTTTTCCCTATATTTTCTCTGTATCATCCCACGGCTGCTGAAGCCTTTGCAATATTAATTAAAATGTTGAGACAGAGAGAGTTCTGGGAATATTTGCCAACATAGTGAACAGAACAGAATAAAGATTTAAATCCTTTTGAAATATTTTCGTAGGTATCAGTAAGGTGTTATTCTTTTGGATTTGGCCCCCTCTTACAGGCCGGTACCCTTGTGTCAGGCTCCTTTTTTTGTATGCCCTTTGAATATTCGTTTATTTTCTCTAAATGAAAACTCAGTTTTTTATCAAAGAAAAAAAAAACATGGTGAACTGAACAAGCAAAAAGAAGGTATGATCGAGAAAGAGTACCTAGAGAGAGTAGATTTTGTGGTGGGCTGGCTGGCATAAGCAGCAAGAGGACCTTTAAGGTTAACATATTTGTTCAAAGCATTCTCAAGTTGTGGCGGTGGTAACTACAAAAAGAAATTATACTTAGGTCCATATAGAATACCAAGAACAAGGGAAAAATATCCATGTCAGCTCAGCTGGGGACATCATGATACCTGTAATAGAACTCGGAAGGAATGAGGCTGTGTTTGAAATGCACATTTCAGAAAACCAAACCACAATTTTGGCATCCTCCAGACCTGGATTCGAAGATGAAATAACAGCATCGTTATTTCCGAAAGCAATAATATCTAAGCTTGATTACCATCTTACATTAGTACAACTGTCTCATTCTATGAATCCCAAGCTTAATTTCATTGCAAAGTTTATGCCAAAAAAATTTAAAGTACTATATAGACCTTGCATTTCAAACAGTATATTCTTCATTAAAAAAAATTCCACATGCCGGTCACATGCACATGATCTAGCCCTTTATTAGAAAAAAAATACCAATTTCGACTCAGAAGTAAACTCCAGAAGGATTCATATGTTTATTCCTGACTGAAAGAAAGGATTTTTCTTACTCAGGATAAGAGAATTTATACATCAAATGGTGGAGTTTCATGTTTGCAGAAAACCATAAATGACAAATTGAGCAAAATGGAGAGTTAAACAAGGTAAATGTTGAAATTTGAAGTTCAGTAAGAAGGCAGTGATCTTGCTGGGACCATGACAGTATGGTAAATTAGATTCGACAACCGAAGTTGTTTATTTTTCAGATGGCATAACTTCATTTATATTTTATTTAGTTTTCACTCACTATATTTGAGAAACAAAAGATGTTACCATATGTACCTGTTTGTTTACAAGTTTGGAAAGTATCTCCATAACAAAATCAACCTGAAAAAGAAATAATGGTCTTGCATATAAGTAACCTGGGATTTCAATAATTAATTTTATTTCAAACAGAGCTGCATAAGAGATAATTTAGGAACAAAAGATAAAGGAGCATGAGTAAAGAACATGATCTCCAATAGCTAAATAATGTCAAAGTCTCAAAATTCAAAATCCTGAAAGCATTTAAGTAGTGGTCCATAACTTCCTTCCAAATAAATAAAATGTAATTGAGCACGTACGAGAGTCAATGTTGAGCATAATCATTTTGTCAGACTACATGAACTAAAAATTTGCTCTTTTCCACCTCAGTTAGTACCACAAACCATAATCTCAATAGGCAACCAAAAACTCAGTCCATAAAGAACTTATATATAACTCCATGACAGTACTTCCTAATATCATAGAACACCAATTAGTTGATAACGGAACTAACCAAAGTCGGAAAAGCATCGATCGCCTGAATTACAGTTCTCATGAAGAGAAGAGGGAGTGGAGTTTGTTCAACCTGAAAACAGAAGCGTTATTACATTACGGAATTACAAAATAGAAGTGATTAGTTTCCTAGACTTCATTAACATACCATCTGGCTCAAGGCTTTTGCTAAAACCTGCTGAGTGAAAACTGTACGTTGCTCAAAACAAGCTGAACAAGCATCCGTTATCTAGAAAAAAAAAAATAATAATAATAATAATAAATAAACAGAAAAGTGTAAAAGTATAATAACAGATGCAATAAACAATGCATGTAGGGCATAAGAGGAATCCATATCCGCAGCCTACGAAGGGCTAGAGTTTAGATAGTCAGATATGCATTACCCAACAAATGAAAATATCAACAATATAGGATATGCGATTTGGTAGCCGTTTCAATTGTTTTAACATGATTTCAGGAATGATAAGGACAGTAGGAGCATATTAGTCATTAGCTAAAGAGTTTGTTAGAGTGGTTTAAAGGCAAGAGAAGTAGAGAACTAAGCCTCTAAAATGCTTAGTAACCATTGTAATTCTCCTCAATATCGTTGTACAGTTTCAATCCTACAAGGAAACAGTACATTCTTTTGTCTGTTAACAGTGTGTAATTTGTTTATGCAGTTTTGTTGGAAGACTAATCGAGCAGGAAAAATATTAAAGGAGGCTAGATTAATTTGGAAAAGCCGAGGCCTTATCTACTGCCATGAAAGACAAAACTGTTGTCTTAACACAAAGGGAGAGAGGAAGCTAAGCCCCCCACACAAAAACAAAAGCCAAAAGAGTACCACAAAAAAGTTGATCAAATGAGAGTAATTACAAATATACCCCAGAGGACTCTAGGAAAAGGAACATCTTTGGATGAATTTTGTTCGGACTTTCCTAGCTCACGTGGAAAGAATGAAACCAAAGAACCTTAAACGATGTGGAACGTTCCTCTGCCAGTTTTTTTTTTAAGCTAGTCTTTTTGGTTTATACTTGGTGTAAATGCACCCATTTATTTCCCTACTATAGCTTGTTCTCTCGTATCCGATTGGAGAATTTAGTTGTAACTCCTTTGGATGGGGATCTTTCCCCCTTTTTGTAATTTCAGATCATCAATGAAATTGTTTCTCGTAAAAAAATATATATATATCCTCAAACCAAAAGAATCCCTAACCATCCCGAGATACTCTCTAACAAAGAGTGATGAAGAAGGAAGATGACCAAAACATTGAGAAGAGATGTCGCCTCCAGCAGAGACCAGGGTACCCATGATGGGAGGAAAGGAGGCATCCATGGTAGAAGAACTGCTTGAATAAGCCACAAAGATAAGAGTATTAAGCACATCGGTTGTGCAATTTGATTCTTTTCTTTATGCATACATGGCTGAATGCTAAGGACATTACACCTGTTGACACATCCGGCCCATCTATCTATACCAATTCTATACCCTATGTCATTCTTTTTATTCAAAGAATAAAACGTTTAAACTCTATGATTAAAATGATAATTTGAATAAACTCTATGATTAATGAATATATAACTCCAAAAGATAGCAAACATACCTTCTTTAATGCAAGGCCATCCTTTTCAGGAGTTATATTGTGGATGGCAATCAATACTTCAACAGGTGTTAAAGCTGGACGTGTATATGCTGAACCCTGACAAGAATGAAAAAAACCTGTCGGTCATATTCTATTAATATAAATAAAAATCAACAGGACTCCAATTAAAGTAAATGTTCAAAAGTCTATTAAAAAAAGAATGTTCAAAAGAATAATGGTAAGATCGCCCCACCATGTGCCACCATTCTTAAGAGAAATATGCACACAAGATTTCTCTGTTTAACTCAATTCTTACTTGTGGTAGCAAGACAATAACATGACCAACCATTTGAAGTTTTCTTGATACCTGTAATATGTGAGCCAACGCCCTCTGGAACTTCTCCAATGGAAGATCAACCAGCCGTGGAAAAACAGGTAAAACCTGAAACCTCGGAATGAATAAGAAAGAAAAATTCAACAAAGATCTGTTTAGAAGATGTGCAAATCATATCTCTATTTATTATTGACACTTCCGTCAGAGTGAGAGGTGTCTAATGAAATTTTGTTGCTGAGCTTAGAGACAATAACAAGAATACAATTATTAGAGGGTTGTACAATGGCAAATTAAATCATTGTTTTAAGATTCTTATACGACTACTTCAAACACAATGAATTAATGAATTTTTGAACACCTTCCACTTCAATCCGTGAACTTTCTGTAACATTGTCGTAAAAAACCTTCTTCATTGGAAATTACCAATACTTCTAAAAGAGGTATTACAAGCATTTCTTGCATAAGCTTTACCACCCTTAACAAATTTTCGATGGATTTCAGATATATAATAACATTTTATTGAAATACAAAGAATCAAAACTATAAAGTTGTGTTAAGTTGTACGCAGTCATTTAAAACAAGTTCCCATTGTATGTCAAGTTGCATGTTGAGTTTATTTGATAGATGTTCCAATGTCAAATCCGACCAAATAACTTGTGCCAAATCGACAAACAACACAACTCACGTGGTCATTCAAATGCACGTTTTCATGAGTTATGTCAATAGGTCCACCAGTTGACCTAATATTCTACACATCTAGATATAGATTATGCTTATGTGATGTAAGCCGATAAGAAAGGTAATTCTAGTATATCTTGCTCTTAAAGACAGAGGCGAGAGGCTTTATAAATAGCCTCTCCAACGGCTCTTTTATTAACCGTAACCTAACAACTTTAGTTAACTAACTAACATAACAGTTTGGAAAGAAAGGCAAAGAGTTATAAAGGCTTATAACGCCTACATCATTATGATTACTTGTTGAGCACTATAAATGAGACCAGCATCAAGCATATGTTATTTAGACATTCTTCTCTAAAATAAAGGAAAAGAATACAAAACATGCAGCAGAGACAGAGAGACCTCATTTTTGGAAAGCGAGGACAACATTGGAATGAGAATTGTCACGTCCTGGAGTGAACAAAGGAAATCTGGATCAAAAAGAAAGTTCATAGTGGATAAAATAGCAAAATAAATAGTTTTCCAACCTTCAGTTTAGTTTCATATAAATGTTGAACAGTTGCGATCAGATCAGAAGAAGGTGTTGTCCCTTGAGTTAGTACCTGTAGGACCTGGCCAATAAACTAACTATTAGTAGAAAGTCTATCAAAAAATTGTTCAAAGTCCAATTACTTATCATTCACCGAAAGCAGTTTTCAGAAATACAGGACATACCAACGCTAAAAGATGTTCACTTCCTTGAGGTGGATCTGATATTATTCTAAGCAATTCAGAATCAGATGACCCTAGGGCCGTAATAAGATTGGGGATATGTTCATGAACGGCCTGCTTCAAATAATAACAGAATGCAGACATAATTCAGTACCAGTTGCTGTAACGGTTCAATTTTGGAGCAAAAAGTATTAAATCATTTATCCTTTTTAATGGAAACCCCAATTTTCAAAGAAGAGAAGTACAAGGATAAAATAACAGGAATAGAACTAAAAAATTATCAGAAAAGGTTTCAACCATTAAGACTTAACACTTGAGATACTATGGTGTTAAAAATGTATCAAACCCATATCTTCCACAAACCAATCTCTGTACCCTCAAGGATTCTTCTATTTACCTATAACTAAATATTCTAAATAATAGGAAGAAAAAAAAAGCACCCAACACGACAAGTGAAGGACTTCCTCCATGATAGTCTTTACTCAAGCCAAACTCTTTCCAAAATATTTAAAAAATCAGCACATATCTTAGTTGCGAAATGACATCTCCAAACAACATTATCCAAATGCAAGCGAGAAACCATGCTAATCGGCTCAAAATCCTTCACTTTCTAATAGTCTGTTATAAGACTAGCTTGACTTAACCCCGCCTAAGATCTAGGTTTGGCAAGCCAACATAAGGCTAAAATAGATTGAACCACAGTCTTGATGTGAATCAATCCACAAGAAGGTTTTTTGTAACTATAGCCTTTTTTTTTATGGTACAAGATTGGAAAGCTCAATTCTATAGCTCCTTAGGGGAGGGTTCTCTCTACCCTCCACCTTCAGGCCATTTTAGCTCTGTAGGGCTCTTTTGATATGAATCTATTTTTCTCAGTTTCCTATAAAAAAAATGTGAAAGGTCAACTTGGTCGCAAGTATATTTGTCATATTGATAATGTAACAAACTTAGTAAACAGGCATTAACTATATTCCATAGATGGGGAATCAAAAGCATTAGTTGTAATACTAAAGCATTGACATATTAAAGGACCTCTTTCACTGCTCTAGGAGCCCGTCCGTAAGCATCAAATACAAGCTGAAGCAGTTGAGGTTTCTGCAGGAAAAAAATACTATATGGTATCAAATTAATCTGGGGAGGCAATGTCACAATTATCAACATTAAAACAAATAGAGAAAATTAGGAACCTTCACGCATAGAGCAAAAAGAAGAGAAATGTGTCTTTCAGCTTCTGAAGATGACAAGGTTGAACTGCCATGAACTGTAGGTTGTGAACTTCTCATGGAATCGATTTCTGAGGTTCCAGGATCTGAAACTTGAGAAGCACAAATGGTTGTTTCCTGGCTCTCACCCTAGAAGACAATTTTTGCAGCAAAGGTAAAAGATAACATTAGTAAATTAATACACAAACTCAAACGGTATATCCCCTTATGCCCTGAAAAATTAAAAAGGGCTTCATTGTAACAAAGGAAATCTGGAAAAGAAGACACCAACACACAATAATTTCTTCATTTGGACCCCTGCCCATAAGGGACTTAGCATAGGGGAGAAATTTAGAAGAGGTTTCCAAAAATCGCAGTCAATTTAAACTGGATCAGTAATGCCTCATGAGAGTATGAAGACCAAGGTTCAAATAATGAATAATGAATTCCCTGTTCAATTCTAATCTCCTTTGTATTTTGGCAAAGGGATTGTTTTTAATATTTGGACGTAGGGTGAAATGAAAGAAACAAATCTAACAGACCTCTCCTCTTGTTCTTTGTTCAATGGATCCACATGATGAAGGCTCTGCATCAGTCTGTAAGTTGTCTACCGCATTCAGGAACAAGTTTGTTGCATATTGCTCAATTCTATCTGAAATGTAACTTAACCGGTAGAGTTTGTTTGCCACCTAATGGACAATGAAAACAACATATTCATGAAACATCATCACTATAGTACATCATAAATATAATCATTTATTTCAATTGAAACCCAGCCAACAGATTAAACGAATCCATTGGCAGGACTAGAGGCTGCATTGTCTTACCAGTCTAATAGCCGTTGCTCGAATCTTAACTTCCGAATGCATAGCACACTGCTATCAAATTAGAATATAGAGTAAGACTTGGATAAATTTAAGACTAGAAAAGACTTAGATATGTTTACAATGAACACAAGCATACACATCTAGGCTTTATACCAAATGTTCCCCATCCCCAAGGCACACCGTGCAAGTAAGTTGACCTAAACACTCACACATATATAAATAAAAGGTGGTTCCAACTCCTGGTTATCAAGTGTTACCACTAATCATGAGGGCGAAAATTAATTTTAAGAGAAAAATAGTTTTAAAAAATTACATAAAGATGTCAAGTTTCTTTATGATTCATGTAAAATTAAAAAATAATAATAATAAATAAATAAATCTCACTTTACAGATGAGGCGGACTTCAATGCAACAAGTAACTAAGAAGTTCACAAAAAATAATGTATTTCTGAAGTAACTAAGAAGTACACAAAAGAGGGTTGTAAGTTGCAGCACTCCACCATTTTAACTAGCAACACGACCATTGTATTGTTCCAATGATCCTTTTTTCATAATTCAGAGTACTCCCATTTTTGCTCACTACTACTACAAGAATTGCTTTTTCCTTCTAATAACATGATTCAGTTTGCTAAGTTGTCTCTTTCGCACCCATAGATTCAATAGTGTTTTCAAAGGTTAACATATTAAGGAATCGTTGGATCTTTGCTTATTTTAACTTCCTAGAGCATTAAAATAGTGTTATGCCTCGAGCAGTACAAAATTTAAGAATTCTTTGAATAATATATATGGTATCAAAATTTTGGGTCAAGGTCCACCACTGAGACAATGGATGATAACCTTTATTGCCAAGAGGAAAACAACCTAGATCACCCGCTAAGGCTTTAATAACCACTTGACTATAGAGAAGTAGAGGTATAAACACAACCTAGAGGTTTGCCTAGAACAGTACAGTAACCCTTGAAAGATTGCATAATAGCTAACTACCCGAGCATCATATTCATAAAAGTTTATCTTTTGAATTATATGTCAAAACTAAGGATCACTTTCGTCCTGAGAAATTGATGAAGTTTCTAAGTTTCTTCAAATTCTAAATTTTCAAAGTATTAATTGGCATGGAGTTTTTCTGCCACGTCTCAATTAATAGATTCAACTAGCTTGCATATTTCCCAAACCCAGAGGGCAGTAAATTCAACGGTTTGGTGATCACCACCCCTCCTATTAAAGACAATATTTGCAAAAGAATGCATCAATACGCACCTCTATCTACATTTCTTATCAGTAAATGTCGTTCATCATTTTTAAAGGAGACACAAATAATGAAAACATGAAAATAATCAAACTGCAAGAGTTTTTACCTTGAGAGCAATATCTAAGCAAGCTTGCCGACTATATGGACGCTTCACAATCAAATTCCAAACAGTGCCAAGGCCCTGAGTGACACGTTCAATATCAGGAGTATCCTTCCCATGGTTGTCAGTAACATCAGAGTAGCAAAGGTTATGTAATAGTTCCAACGTAGAGTCAGGCAATACTGGAACTTCACCAAGAAGTCTACTAAAAGACTTGTCTGAAGCTGGAAAAGAATCCAGCAACGATTTTGCCTACAATTAAATATTGAAACTATATCACTCACAAATCATAACAAAATTGATGTTTCAGGGAATGGGATCAAAAGACCTGAAATGAGAGAAAAGTGGCATACCACAACTAGAAGAAACTTTTCGTACACAGCAGAAGAAGAACTTTCAACTGAATCCAGAATATCAAGTGAATGCAGGTGATATAAGACATGCAAAGCAAGCTCATGCCCCTGGAAACAATGTGTCGAAATTAAATAAAGGCTCAAGATAAACCATGAGTACACATACCAATCAGATTTATTAAGGATACCAACCATAGAAGAAAAATTATAACGATGATAAACCTGAAATATCTTTTCAGATATACATTAAAATGAAGATTGTGATGCGACCAATATATGAACTACATGATCTTTATGATTCCAAATAATAACTTACAAATATAATGCTCGAAAATTTTCACATATAGGCCATAGAGAAAAAAGGGAAACCCTAACAGCCCAAAAAATGTGAATTGTGATGAAGAGAGGGATGAAGATGTATATGTATAAAAAAAAGATGAAGAAAGGGAGATATATATATATATATATATATATATGCATGTATATATATATATATATATATTGACAGAGAGGAAAACAACTTAAACACCCTATCTGGCCCAATTTTTCAATGTAAAAACCCATCAACAGTCGAAAAGGGAAGGAAATACAGACACCTGATAAAATTGTAGAGCACCTTGAAACATACTGTTAACAACCAATTGAGAAAGTCAATGAATGGAAATCTTTTACAAATCCCTTGCATAGTTTTATCACATCTAAATCAATAACCTTTCTGATGTGGTCATGCCTTTTCTCAAAAGGAGCACATGCACTTTCAAATAAACAGACTATAGGTTAAGGGGTCTCAAGGATTGATTGTCATCTATGCCTATCATCAAGTGTATCCACAGGCTGAGATTGACTGATAAAACGAGATTATGCCTTCAATAAATTTCATGAAATCTCATTTCAAGCTGAATAGCACTTAGGAAAATTATACCTTTTGCTGTTGGTAATCAAGAGCAACTTGTTTTTCCAACATTCCAACAATATAATCATCAGCATCAACCTATGATGAGAAAAGAAAAGAAGAAAAAATTTAATTGCATGGCATATTCCATAAAAAAAAATGCACGAGATATCAAAATACAGTAGAATTGAAGGTACAACTAAACAAGTCTGTTAGATTACATAGACAGGCCAATTTGTATCCAGACTTCCCCCAATGGAAATAACAATCATCCCATTGTACAGTTGCAGCACATAGAACATTTGGACCTCCAGTGGACCGAGAGAGAGATAAGAGAACATAAATCACCATGGAATAATATACGTATGACTTGAAAACACACATGTGAAGCATCTCAACTAACATGATCAAGAAATTCCAATCGAAATCCAGAAGAGTACCAAACAAATTATTTCTCTAGTAATTTCCAATAATTGCTAGATTCAACCGATATAAATTCAAAAAGACATGTAGATAGTTATTTATCATATATTGCAGGTCATACTCCTGAAATATCACCAAAATTCATGTTATCTACCAATTCGGGATAACAAAAGCTCATAGATTCAACATATTTTATTGCTGTGAACCATACTATTTTCAACAAATTATGTCAGAAGTTCCAGACAATAAAGAAAACCTGTGAATCCCTAGTCCAAAAGAAAGACAACGTAGATAAGACTCTGCGATCAATTTCAACTGCCTTTCAAACACATATTAAAAGCAAAAAATTCAAAACCGTAGTATACTCCTTTCTGTAACTGAATGGAGCGATACAAGGTACAAAAGTAATATTTTGACAGAGATGATTATTATACATGAAGCAGATGACCAACATGTCCTTTCCACTGAGAGCGAGGTGCATGGAAAATGAAGAGATAATTTTACCATCGTGAAGGGATACATAATTCATGAAAATATGCAAAAATGTACATTTGCTTCCATGATCACATGTAACACATCTAAGTCTTCATTTCATTCACTTCTTGAGTAAGATTTGTTGAGTTCAAATCACCAAAGTTAAATCTATATCATTACTCTGCTCCAAGTTGATTAAGAGTAACTTTGATGAAAATTTATGTGGCCTAAAGTGATAGAGATATGTTACAGATACAAAAGTTGTCATTGACTAGATACTCGATTTTGTGGCCCCCCGTGAATTATAGAACACAATGTGCAAATGTGGCACAGCACAAATTGATCCCTTGTCCTTGCATTTTCCTTTTCATAGACCTTAAAATGAAGGCTGTTGGTCAAATATAAGGTATATGGATCCTTCCCTTAAATTGTTAGCCTTTACTTTGTAAAGTGCAAACATCCAGAGGCAGATAATGAAAGGGAAAAACAAGATGCTTGAGCACTATAAAGAATACTTTGAGAAGAATAAACGGAGGAAGGACAAATCTAATGAAAATTAAATGAAAATAAATATACAACAGAGTATATTACACTTTCAGCCTCCTTGGCTTCCTTGACGAAAAACTTATATTCACACTATTAGCTAGTTGGAAAGCTGTTATTTGCTTTATTTACAATGTGGCTGAACTTCGACTCCTCCTACCTCATTGTACAGTATAATTAATGAAAGTTTCTGTCTTGTTATAGAAAGAAAAACATAAAAATAATAAATAAACAATCAGATATTGCCCCCACCTGAGCAACCAATCGAGCAATTACTGCCAAGCGTATCTGATGGCATTCTGCCCCATTTAAATTCTTGCATGAATCAAATATCTTTTCAGCAGCCAAATTTCTTACAGTTATTTGCTGTTCTGGAGTCAAGTCAACGTATGGTGGAAGCAGAGGCAATTCCTGACAGGTGTCTTCAGATACTGCTGCATTCGTAACTGATGGAGAATACTGACTGTACTCTGTGGAGGATGATGTATCATCCCTCTTTGTTGCTGACTCATCGAACAAATTAACTGCAACTAAATCTTCATCCGCTTTTCCAACAGCAGAAGGCGTGGGATCCAGAGAGTCGTTAACCTCTAATATAGTGTCAACTTTCTCAGCTCCATCAGGAGATTTTGATTTGGGGGTCGATTGGTCTGTTCCAAACCCAACTGGAATCTCTACGGTTTTTTCTTCAACTTTCATTTTTGATATTAAAGGTACTGAGGGATTCTCAATTGTCACAGAAACAGGAGCTGAAGCAGGTTTTACCAAAGATATGGAGCCATCAACATCAGGAATATTTGAAGTTGTCTCCTCCACACTAGAAGCAGAAGATACTCCAACACGGCGAGGATCAAGGCGACGGGGATCCTGGATGAGTGAGTAAAACAAACTAATTAGTTTAGAGGCAGAGTGGTAGACATAACGTCATAGAGACACCTAAATAATGCACATCCACTACTGGCTAAATTTACCCTTCTTGGATCCCGTTTAGAATCAACAGGGAGACTATTCACAGTAGAATCAGCAAAGGTTGAACCAGCTGAGATGGCCAAAGAGAAAGGAACTTGTGCAGTGGCAACTGGAGTTTGAACAGAACTTGATGGGGCTGACGACGCCAGAACCTGCACATGACTACTTCCTTGACGAGTTACAGGTAAGTCTCCATGCCTTGTTAAAGGAGGGGAGGCTTTAGGCAAGTTCTTCATGTTGGTTATGACAATATCAGCCAATAAATCGGGATGAATATTTGAAATCAGAATTTCAAGCGACTCTGCACCTCGCTCCCCTTCAGCGAGTAAGGCACCAATCATTGCAATCATTTGCTCTGCCGGAGTCAATTCAACATCTAAAGCATGAATATCAGGGGGCGTCCCATTAGAGATGGCATTCTGCAGAGAACCATCTTTTTGAGCAGCAAAAACTAGGTGAACATCAGGACCAAAGCGAATTTGCTTGGAAACCACATCACGACCATTGGAAAGTTCTTCATCATCTAGAGGCCTAGGTCTTTTTCTTGTTAGATCCACTGATACATTAAGCTGATTTGATGATTGATCATCCTTGTTATCAGATATATTTATGTTGAGACAAGAAAAATGAAGCAGTTAGAAACATATATAGCAATAAAAGAATAGTGATCACATCAACACTTAGTTTATAATTACCTTGCCCAACCAAACATCACGTGAAGCTCGATCTGCGGCCTTCACCATTTTGTCCACTTGCCTGATCACTTGATCTGCAGCATCTCCAGCATTTATAGCTCTTAAAGCCTTTAGCAATCTGTCTCTTGACTGAACCAACAGAAAATCAAGCTGTCAGAGAAAAGTGAATACGAGCAGATAGCCATTTCCCAAGAATTTCAATATTTACATCCATTCAGTTTATAATGAGAAATTATGAAATTGAAAATTCGTAATTTCCCTAAATCCGTCCAGCAACTTCCCTTTGTAGTAAAAATTATTTGACAGATGGAAAAAGAAAACTAGGGATAGAAATAAATGGAGAAAAAAAATGAAACATTTCGAGTCAGTTTCACTAATTGTAGAGGTTCCACAGTCAAGAGATGTACAGAAATTTCATGCCACATCAAGGGCCACTCACTAACTTGACAAAAGGTAAAAGGAACTCAAGATTTTGCACTTCAAGACATACTATTATGGAGCAGCATTCTATTCTGAAGCTCCATGCCATAACGAAAGCTATTAGCTAAAAGCGAAGCAAGTACAGCAGATCCTTATGTAATGATAAAATGTCATGTTGCAATTCCCAAGTGTACAACCAAGTAAAAGTCAACATGAAGAAACCTAGAGGACTGGACATAATCGTTTGCACAGGCATGATAAATATAAAAATATATACACACAAGTCATTTCACCTCTACAAAAGCTGGATGCATACACCTAAGGAATCCCATAAGCGCAGATCTTATGGAATACTGAACGCTGGCAGCATGACGCCCTTTTAACATCTCAAAACTCGGAATAAATTCCAGCAGTGCAGATAGAATGTTACCATAATGAACCGGTCTCTTCCTTGCTATAGCTGCTAAACTGTCAAACAGAAGAGCAATTGATTTGAAAGAGGGAATACAGACTGTAAAAATCAAAAGTTGCAGGAAAGTTTTAGCACAATTCGAGAAAGAAAAAGAAAAACTATAAAGAAAGTGAATGGCAAGAATTGATATATGTCTGTAGATGACAAAAAAAAATAATAATAAGTAATAAAAAAAATTCAGAAGAGTAAAATAATTTTAATTTCAACTTATTACTAAGTAATGTCAACAAGAAAAGTTAACTGCAGTGCACAAAAATGATTTCCAGGAAGGAAAAACTCACACAGGAAGGGAAAAGAAGAAGAATTGCAGAAGGTCCCATAACAAAGGACAAGGAGGGGAGAAATTAAAGTTAAACATATAATTAAAGTCTTAGATGTAAGGGAAAATATAATTATTTCCTATTGAAGAATGCTATAGATAATTAAGTGTTTAGATCAAAAAAACATAGTTTCTAATTTTGTAACGCATGAATCATTGCAGACAGCAAAACATATTTATGTTGATCACTCAAGGCTCAAAATCAACAATTCCATCAGAAAGGATTCTAGAACAAGTTAAGATAAGAAGGAACTGATCAGTTCAACTCAAAGAGTGAAGTTTCCAACAATTATGACTTTTTATGATATCATGCTCATAGAATCAAAAACCACAATCCCAGCAACCGACAACACAAAGCAATGGTTTCCGAAGTCTACTTTTGTGCTACACAATGCTTAACAGCAAACCATGTGTCACATGCCAAGTAACATATCCATCCAAAAAGGTCCTTCATCAAGAGCAGAATTTTATAAATACTAACATAAACTATGTTTCCTTTAAGTAGGTATGAAAATTTTCCTTAAGAAGGATGAAGGTTTCTTATTCAAAAAATGATGGACGGAAGCAACAGTACTCATTAATTAGAACTTAGAGAAAAACCATATATTGCATTAATATTCATGAAATCACAGAATATATTAAAAAAACATTCAATTATTATTAAGCTCTCGTTTTATTTGCTAATGACACTTCTCATGAGGCAAAAAATAATCATTCCTTTTGGGTATTGCCTCCTATCTAATTTTGGTTAGAAAAATAACCAAGATGACCTATGAGCAAACGCACGTCCTTATAAAATTTGAATAGGCTAAACCCTTTCTTGCAGTGCTGTTCTGAAAATAAAAATGCATAAGGGTACTCTCTATAGTCCTTTCTTTCTTGCTTGTGATGTTACACATATAACAATTAGTTTCCACTCCAGAGGAATAAAGCATTTCAAAGGAAAAGAGTATCATAGTTCTGAAATGGATTGGCATGTTACAGAAATTTCATATTCAATTTTTGCATACTTCAACATAAGTTCAGATGAGATAACAACACAGTGAGGTTAAGTCAGTAACTTGATTGAATCTTGCTGTTGAAAACACTTCTAAGTGCAAGACAGAAGATTATAAGGATTACATAATAAGTTACCAAGGGAAGACAGAAGCAGAATGGTAACCAGATATGTGGAGGACTACATTATTTCTTGTGACGTGGCCTATCTTACAAGATTCCAGTAATGGAAACAGAAAGGAAAGGCAGATTACTAAAAGTTCACATCTCAACACACAAAATAACCCCAAAAAAGTAATTATCAGCTTTCAAGTACAAGCACAGAATATCTATACAAGTGGTGCCTATTTCTTCTAGACATTGTTTTGATAAATAGAGGCCTGGGGAAAAACGTGTCCACACTAAACCTGGGAGGGAAAGCTAAAACTTAGTTTGACCAAAAAAAGTTAAATCTGCAGTGGCTTTGGGACCTCTGGCCAAATAACGTAAAAAGTTCATTTAGGGAATCAGGCAGCATCCAGAGGCAACCAAGGTAAATAAAAAGGAAGTTTACAAAAGAACTTAATGAACCCACAAAAATACAGCATCAGAACCAGAACATTAGGAATAAACAACTCATCAGTTTACTCCACAACTACTGCCATAGTTTCTGAATCCATGAAAATACAGCAGCAGAACATTCATTTAACTCTATAAATTGAATTGTTTAAGCCACGACGGTTGCAATAAAAGCCATTCTACCACAACAAGCTTCCATCCTAACCAACATAACTGCAAGTTAACCATTCACCACCTGACATAATAGATGGAGAACTTTACAATTCATCAAGGATTAGAATGATCAGACAGAATTTCTAAGTTTCTTCTCTCAAATGGACCCTCATTTCCTATTTCACAGATAAGGTAGGTCCCGCATACAAATGTTTGATTTCCAAGTTGACAACTACTATGTTGCTCAACAATAAAAGTGGCATCAATCAATGCTTATTTATTTTTGCAAGAATCATTTGAAATACAACTTATGAATTCAGGCAAGCATCACAAAACAAAATATAAAATTAACTGCATTCCTGCCGTGCAGCTAACAGATGATTCAAAGAAACTAACAATTTTTTAACCAAGAGGTCTCAATGTTACTAGAAGAAGAAATAAATACCCCAAGGTAGGAAAATATAAAAGCATAAATTACATTAGCAAAAAATTTGTTAATTCATGTCCTACACCTGAACGACAGTTGGAAAAGTATGACAAGCCAACACCAGAAAAGACTTTAACCATTAGAAAAGCAATATAAACATGACATGGGTTTTCTAAGATTTTTCTTATATCTGTAAGATCAAAACACCAACCTTGCTACAAACAAGTTTATTCTATTTCCATACCCAACCAGAAATGAGAAAGAACTAGTTTTCGTGTATGGATCTTAAGTAAAATGACAAGCAGAAGTTCCAAACAAACATTAACTTCAAGTGATATCCACGAAGCCAATTTTCCTATAATCCTCTCTTCACATCTACTTTTTATACAACTTTTGCATGTACTGATATTATATTTTTGGAGCCTCGACTTCATTTGGTGATTCATGAAAAAACCATGGTCTGAAATATGCAATTCCCAGAGGAAAATCCTAATAAGAGCCTTAGAAAATGATAGCAGAAAGTAACTGCTGATGCTTAAGGAGAACTCGTGAAATAATGGTGATATGATCTCTGTAATGATAAAAATTTTCTTTATAGAAAGTAACAAAATTCAGCATAATTCTTGGTGATGAAAGAAAGATTTATTAAATTAGTTTTCCATCAGTCATCACATAGAACCAAAATCTTGGATGCTTTACAATCAACCAGACAAGACTCGATTTCACTCATTCGATGGATAATCAAGACCATACAAGCTCACTGTCCGCAAGTGCACAACCATTCTCTAAATTATGATCGCAACAGCTGTTGTAAATTACTTTAAAAAGATGAACCATAGAAGTCATAGTAATGTGTTAGAATTAAAAGCCATGCCTTCACAATCCGAATTGTTGCTATTGTAACTTCTGCAAATTAAGGGCGTGATGATGATATAAGCACAAATTTTTATTATTACAAGTGAACCTTATAAGCTATGAGTAAGCAGATATGCATAACAGATGCTGACTAGAAAACATAAGCAGAACTTCAAACCATATTGTGCCAAGAAAACAGGCATAAGATGAAGAACAAAAGTAGAAAAGCAACTCCTTGCAAAAACGTCAGAAATAGCTGGTTAAAATGAAATATTTTATTATCTCAAATAAAATGTGTATCAATGTCAAAATAAAAGTACACATTTTCAATTAACTCGCTATGGTGCTGTATGCACATGGAGAATAGGAAACTGTGGGGAACGGTTTCTTTAACAGTTTACAATGTATAAACTGCACTGATTGACCTTCCATCCCAATCACATAAGGTAATCATCGCACCAGTTATCCATTCCTATCCTTGGCCACTGGTGCTCCGAAGTACCCAAAAAAATTTGCAGTCTAACACCGTCTAGCTTCGCTACTCCCATTTTCTGAATCATCAATGAAGTATGATCCAATGCCACTAAATCCTCTTAAGTGAGCTTGTCAGCATGCGGCACTGAACGTCACAGACAAGCAGCTGAACTTGTTCAATGACCTGATCCAGGCTTCAATCATCCCTTCACAATTTTCAAGACAGTAGTGACAAGGACAAAAAAAAGGTCACTGCTATGTGCTAAAGTTTTGAGGTCCCTACCGATCTGATGTAATATGTGGCATGTGGCATGTGAATTATCTCAACAATTAGTGGTAAGACAAAGCTTTAAATAAGAATGTCCCATAAGAAAGTGAAAATCATTCGACCATGTTTTCAAGTTATATTTTGACAAATAAACAGACGATGAAACAACATAGTTATATACTTATATATAGAGATCCCCACAACATACAGACAAAAAGAGTGAATAATAAAGCATTACAGACAGTATAGGCAAACGTTAAATCAAAACTACACAAAAACCCTACTCAATGGAATTTGCACGAGCATGGAACTTGATTTACTATTAAGTAGACATGTTATATTCATCTAAGCAAAAGATTTAGTTACCAAGCCAAAATGACAATCACAAAAATTTCAAGAACATCACATCTTTAATAGTAGTGATGATAAGTTTGGATCACAATAGTGCTCCCCGTACGCATGCAGACTTTCTCTATACATCACCAGGACTATGCATGCAACAATGCAAGAAATTTCTTAAGGAGCAATTTATTTCCATATTCGAATTTCCCTTTTTAATTTACTCACCACCCCCCTTAACTTAAAAGATGCCATCTCTGAAAGAGAACATTCAACTAACATATCGGCTATCAAACACTCGTTCATATCTCCAATACCCATATAAACATTGGAAAAAATTCATCCTTAATGACATGAAATCTCTCAACTTTCTCAAACTTGAACGTCTAGAATGATTGCCCCACATGATTTCTTTCTTCAAACTAATCTAATTTCCTAGCTTGTTTGATAAGATTCAATGATCATGACCTAAGAATGTTGGCCATGTCATATAAGCAATAATAAAGATGAATAGATGTTCTAAAAAGATTATAAGCACTAAATTTTGAATGGAACACATCTTTCAACATAGATCAAGACGATAATTTCCAATCTAATTTAGTTGTTGTATAACTAGATGCATACAGAATGCAAGTAAAACAGTAACGGCACTATCTGCAACTTTCTGCATCCTCTATGTTATGTCTTTTTAGAAGTATTGTCATTATCATATAATCACCGTGATGAATGCTGGAAAAGGAGAATATAAAGATCTAACATAAATACAATAAACAAGAAGTAAAAATTCTATAATATCATAATCAAATACTTCAAAATAAGAACGTAATAGTACATAACAGGAAGAGCATTACATTTTAGACAGCACAAGAAATTGAATCAAACAATAAACTAATTTAAAAATATCATAAAATGGCATGTAAGCAAAAATTACGCAAACAAATTTGTTAATTTGACAAGCACAAAAAAAGTGCTGATTAGAGAACATTCAAAAAGAATCAACTACACCTGAAGAATGTCACAGTTCAAATCTTTCCTTTTTTTCCCTTTTTTTTCAAGAAATAAAAACTAATCATTTATATTTTAAAAGTTACCAACTCTCAAAGAAAATCACAGCTTTACTCTTGGAGAAAATGATGAAGACTCAAACACAGATTTCAATGTCGCATTTAGGAATACAGAAATTCGCTCAAATTAACATACATACATACATACATAAATTCAAAATAAAATTTTAAACCAATAAATTCTCCACTCTAAATATGCAGAAAGCAGTTTATTTTTATAAGAAAATATCCAGAAAGCAGTTAGTTCCATCATCATTCAGAAAGATCTAGATCAACAACCACAAAGGAGATATATTGTTGAAAATATAATATTAGAAGTTGCTGGACTTTAGAAAATAATTAAAAACAAATACAACCAGTCGAGAAATGAGAACCTAGAAGTAAGTTCTAGTGATGTAGACATAAATTTTTCTTTGGGCTTGGCCTCTTTAGGTTAGATGTGTGCATGAACAAGTTTGTACTTAAACATATATATCAAGACACACCATCTAGCACCAATTCTAAATCTGATTTCCTCTCCCATATGTTGAGAGGTGGTGGTCTATGATTAACAATAAAGAAAAAAAATGAATATTATTAACTCAAGATCCTTAAGCTGATGAAAATGAAGTCTGATGCTTTTCACTTGATACACAGCAGTAACGTATGTAATCCTGCCTTTTTTTCTTTAACTTCTTTCACATTATCCTAAACGACAGTACATTTACACCAAAAGGACAGATAGCAACTAGCGATGGATAAATTATACAGAATGAAGAGAATAAACTTCAATTTTAAATGTCAAACAGCCATCAACTAATAAAACAACCAAAAATTAGAGAGAGAAATCTCACCAACTGACAACTGTAACTGTGTATGTACCAGGAACAGAACTGGACTGCAACAAATTTAACAGAATGCCAAGCATCCTATTAGCTTCCGACATGAGCCCAACTGGATCCAAAATAGGAAAACCACCAGCTAGCCATGAAATATTAAAAATATCCCCATTTCCTGTTAGTAGACAGAATTAAGTTAAATTCCGAGCAAACAAACTTCTAGAAACAGATTACAAATATATATTTACTTCTAAGCTAAACAACTGGAAAAAATGAGAAATGCTACAAACGTGGGAACAAGTTTGTGATGCCTAAATGTAATACCTTCTGAGACAGGTTTCTGTGGATCATTTGTATCAGAGGTAAAAAGTAGAACATATGTTTCCAAAAATTTCAAAGCCAGCAACCTCTTCCCAACAGAACCAGGCTACAATATGACATTTAAGCAGCAGCTTTAAGATCATAACACTTGGTAGTTCCTCAAAAATAAAAATAAAATACTGGAAATTCAACTAATCATGTGTACCTTCCGATAAGAAAAATGAAATATACAAGGAAGTGGCCCGGAAGGAGCATTTTAATATTAAACACACATTAAAACACAACATCCACTGAAAGTATTCAGAACTAAAAAAATGTATTCATTACTAAAAGTATGGTAAAGTTATGTTAGGAAAATTAAAATTCCTCTAGAAACATAGAATACAAAGAGGTGTAATCTATTAAAGAAAGGGGGAATAGAAAAAGTTATTGAACCATCTAAACCTTCAGATTCGTATCCAAATTTATACCATATTTTTCACACTCATGACTGACCCATAAACTATCAAGACAATCATGTATATCTTCAATATTATTCTAAGTGTACTTCAACCATAAGATAAACTTTTATGGATTAATGCTCGAATTCAAATAAATTGACAACTCCTGAAAAGTTTTAAATTTTTCACTACAAAAATGGAGAATTTGAGAAATGGAGTACAAAAATAATCTTTTTTTATCACATACAAATCCTTAAACGATACACTGTATATACTGATACTGAGAAAAAAGCACTGAAATTCAACTGCATAAAAAAGCATCAAATGTGAGGAAAACTTACTACTATAAGATGCAAGGTAACAATACTCAAAAGAGCTTCAATTGCTTTATAAAACAACAGGAAAATAAGACTAAAATGACAAGATAGGCTAGCTTAAAAACTTTCGGGACCATATAAATGCCATAGTATGGGATTACTCCATACTATTTCCATGCATTCCTCCAAAAAACACAGAGAAGTACCTGGCAATGGCAGCCTCAGGTTTACTTGTATTATTGATGTACCATTAACAAGATCAACATATCCACGCAAATACGAATGCAATTCCAATTTCAAATAAAAACAGTAGCACAATGTTTAGAGGACTGGAAGTTGGGCATTTATATACCTCTATAGCAATTGCCAAAATATCGTCTTTAAACTTCAACATTCTCATCCACAGTTCTTCAAGCCATCTCTCAACTTTACCTCGCCGATGCAACTGTGGAATTCTAAAGTTAGCATCTAATTTTAAAAACTATAAAATAAATTTCAACTGGAGAATATATATAAAGCATCTGCATGCTAATGACATTGATCAAAGACTAGAAGTGATTATACATAAATATAACATAATGATTGACTGGCCTTCTCTAACCATGTCGGGCAAGCAATAAAATTAAGCATATGTTTAGTAAGTCCGACAGTTTTAACATTTCTTCCACTTTAAGCAAGGAGAAGCAGAAGGAGAAACCTGCATTGTCATCTCTCTTAAAACACCACAAAATAATTTTTGGCCACTAATAATTGATTGTCTTGCTACAATAGGGTCTTCATCCTTTAAAGATGCCAATAAAACTGACATTAATAGAGGCGAATGTTCCATGGCTCTTAGTCCAATGTCTTCAATCACCCTGTACATCGTGTAAATTGAAACCATTTAGGGTATAAATAAACGATAGAAAAATATTCCAGCAGCTGGAGAAATTGAAGGTATTAAAAAAAGAAGCCTAGTGGACAAGCCATGCACTCACTCTGAAACGCAAATATAGTTATGCTTACAGAAGAAAATACAAGTTATACCATGAGTATATTAACTGGCCATAAAATTTGATTCGAGTATAAGAACATTCTCGGACAGTAACAGAGTAAAATATAAGATACGGCTCTGATAACAAATACACAGCGGCTAAAAGAGTGCAACATAGATGAGCTATCATTGACTGCACCTGGACTAAGCATATCTCCTTCATAGCAAACAATTAGCCAAAGTAAAACAATAGTTTTTAAAAGACATATATATGCAAGAAAACTGAATCCACGTGAAACTGACCAACTATCCCATTAAAAATATATTGAAATTATTAAATTTACCCTAGGCCTAGCCCATCTATTTTTTGCAAGAAACAATTTTTCATTGTCAAATAGATAATTACAGGAGGGAAGGATAAGCAATCTCCCAACCAACAAAAACCAAGGGAGTTGATGAAAAATGTAGTAATCGAAAAAGAAGAATAAGTACTAAGAAACTTTGACCAAAGCACCACACAATGACGTTAAATTTGGCATACTCCCAAAGTTCACAAATATGTCCCTCATTGGTCTCTTGAAAGGAGCTCTGTAAAGGAGGAGGCGGAACAAGGACAAAGCCTCCTTAGCAGAATCGCATTTAAGCTCAAATTCTTCCAGCACCAAACTCCAAACATTTTAGAATAAAATTTATCTTAAACCTATCAACTTTAAGTTTTTTAGCATAATAATTGAACATGTACCTAATGACTATAGATTGATGTCTTTGATCAAAATTTGATGCCGCATATAAATACATTGCGGACCAAGTAAGACGGACGAGCATGATATGTAAGAAACAAGATTCCCATAAGTAGGTAACCAATATTTTTGCATATAATTCAGTATACACAAGACCAAAACGTACTTTCCCTCGCAATGGGATATGGTTTCCCCAAACTTTACATCTCGCTCCACTATTTAGCAACGTTGGACTCATACAAGGATCATACTTCGGTGTAAGTCACTTTGTAGGTAGTATAAATATGGGAAGTGTAACAAAAAGTATAAATAATCCAAAATACATACAACAGAGATGGAAAATTAGGGTTGTGGACTCACTCAATTAACAATTTACGTAGTAGGCTCTCGGGGGAAGACTGAAGCTCCACCAAGTAGGAGTAGAGCTCTGCGGCGAACGATGGCTCGATGGACAGTATAATATCCTTCACCTGCCTCAAAGATGAAATCTTGACCGTTAAATCACCATGGTTGTTAGCGGCGGCCATGAGAGAGAGTGCTCTTTCTCTGAGAGCTCCCGCCATAGTTGACCTAGAACCAGAAGTTAGTTCTTGGAGAGGTGTTAGGGCTTTGAAGGAGCGGACAATTTTATTCCGGAGAAGAACGTGAACACTGACTGGAGAAACAACCGCAGCGGGGTGGTCGCGGAGGGAATTTAAGGAAGCGGATGAGACGACGGCCTTGGCGCGGAGGCCTGGATGGCTGGCATATGATTATCACGTGCCTCAGGCAATGCGAATGCGGAATCGACGTAGCCCATTCCACATTTTTATACTAGTTCAACTCTTTAAGCATTTTTAGGGTTTCTTTTTTTTCTTCTTCTCTCTCTTTTGTTATGCTTTAAATTTGATCCATGTCAACGTTGTTTTTTTAATCTTTGGTATGGTTTAAATTATCACTTCAGCCGATTGTTAAATTAAAAAAAAAATGAAAAATTAGTTTAAATATTATGTCGATCTATCTAGTTTTAACTTTCTTTCATTGTCTCTGTACTTCGAAAACATTTGTTTTGTTCTGTGTACTTAAAATACGATCATTTTGTCAATATTTGTAAAATTGGACACATTTTTATACACAATATGAATTATTTTATTCAAATTTATGATTATGTCTCAATGAATGTAGCGAGTGAATTATCATATTGAAATTGTAATTGAAATAAATTAGATAAAAAAATTAAAATTAATTGACTAAATTTGACACTTTTTAAAATATGTGGACCGAAACATACATTTTGAAAATACATATAAAGAAAACGATAGTTAAAAACACAGATACTAAAATAGACATGAAGAAACTAAAATTGCATTTAAATTAAAACTCTTAAACTTGTCACGGGCATTTGTATATATATATATTTTTTTTATGGAAGGCATTTGTACATCTACCATTATAATAAATCAATTGTTAAATTATCTAACATATCTTAAAAATCAGGTTGCCTAAAAAACTTATGTAATCATCACCTAATAACCACGGATAATAATTTCATAAGGATGGAGCAAACAATTCCAGAGACATACTCAAAAGTTTCAATTTGATAAAGTTTGACAAAGTCAGTAACATGTATAGTAACTATAAAAATGTTTTAATTATAGAAGTCTTGTCAATCTGAAGATAATTCGACTAGTTAAAAGTATATATCTCGATTAAGAGATTGTGTTGGTTTAATTTTTATATTACAATTTTATGTTGTTCTCTTGGGTTTTTTTGTTCAAATTGTAATTTTGTGAAAGCAAGTAGGTGGGATATTTTTTTTTTCCTTTTCATTTTGGAAGTTGGACCTCTAGAAGGGAGAGTTTAAATTTTTTCTCAAGAGGTAAGTTTTATATTGACCACCAATCTAAACGTAGATCATATACTCGAAACAAAAATTATACAAAATGACGAGTAAAAGTGATCATCATTGGTAATTGACATTCTTATGACCCAACATAATAAACTTATTCGTCATTGTAAAATAATTGCAATTATAATACATTGCTAATATATATGTTTTTTTAAGTATAATATGTAAGGTAGGGATTCGAACTTACGAATTATTGATCGTGGATAAGTGTCTCAATCAGTTAAGATATGCTATAGTTATTAATACATTACTAATATTTGTCACAAAAATATTATCCAATCATCCAATATAGTAATGTTCAGATCCCAACTTATCGACAAATTCGAAGACAAAAATATATTTGATTTTCAAATAAGAGTAACCACACGATCATACCATTGACATGGTAAATTACCATAATAATGAAACAATATATAGTTATTATGACATAAAATAATGATTATATCGTAGGAAAATAAAAAAGAAGGGTCGTGGTTCACCATATGTCTACCATTTGTTATAAACAAACACATACTAAAATACATTTTAATTAGTTAAATAAGGTATATAGGAGAAATTGAACTTTAAAATTAACTTAAAAAATAAAAGTAACAAGTGTTTTATCTTGAAAGAGTAAATGTTCAAATTCACGTCAATATGTCTATTACCACACTTCATGGTTCATTATTCACTCAAGTGAAGTATAAAAGGGAATTTTTTTTTTTTTTGAAATTTGAATAAACACCCTATATATATATATTTTTTTTTATAAATGAAAAATACTTAAGTTCTCGCTACTATTGAAAAAATCCAGCTCGTTATTATACAAATATATATTTTAACATATTTTTGTCAAATTTTCCTTCTTAATTATCATTGTAGTTGAAAAAAGATAAGTCGAGAAGCTAAATAATTTTCATTATAAATACTATATTTAAAAAAAGAAAATTGTTTTTGTTGCCGGGTACCGCCAGAATTCCGACTATACCCCTATTTATTTAAGATCTGCTAAAGGTCCATTTGGGGAGTTGCAGAGATCGACGGAAGATCGGAATATCGGCTAGGGTTAGCAGAGAAGAAGCATGGAGGGTTGGGATCCGAATACCAAGTCGACGCTGACTCAAATCCCTCTGCTCACGACCAAAGCTGGCCCCAGAGATGGCGCGGCGTGGACGCAGCGGCTGAAGGAGGAGTACAAGGCACTAATCGCCTACACCCAGATGAACAAGTCCAATGACAACGACTGGTTCCGGATCTCAGCTGCTAATCCAGAAGGAACACGATGGACCGGCAAGTGCTGGTATATCCACAATCTTCTCAAGTACGAATTCGATCTTCAATTCGATATTCCCGTCACGTATCCCTCTACAGCGCCAGAGCTCGAGCTGCCGGAGCTCGATGGGAAAACCCAGAAGGTTTTTTTTTTTTTTTTTATTTGCTTATATTGAAGGTTTTGCGTTTCTCATGGTTGAATTTGAAAACATTGTTTAATTGGATTGTTTCAGATGTACAGAGGTGGAAAGATCTGCTTAACCATTCATTTCAAGCCTCTATGGGCTAAAAACTGGTAATTTCATCTCTATTCATTTAAATGCCGGTAGAAATAAGAAGATTAGAGTTCACGTGTTTGCACAACTGGCTAGTTTTAATCTGCATTGGTTTGTAAGTGGACATTAAATCAGAGTCGGCTTTAGGGTTTAGGGTTTTTAATTCATATTCAGAATGCATGCTTGCTTTGATATGCGTCTCAACAGGCTCGGCTTTTCCAAGTTTTTGACAGTGAATGCCTTAATTCCAAGTTTTCCCAAGGTTATAATCCTCAGTTATTATACACAGAAATCAGATTTGTTCATCATGATTTATGTGAGAGGAACTTTATTTTACATGAATCATGTGATTGCCTTTAGTCAAATCAGTATGACGAGGTTAATTAAGACAACTTCATATTAAGTTTTCTTATCCAGGCCATGGTCAACCACCGAATTCTCAGTTTTGTTCTTATCTATATGATAAGAGTAAGAAGTGAGACATCACATCTAAAAGTTTAGACCATGCAAATTTCTTGCACATCCTAGAATGAGACCTGCACCGAGAAGTGCATTTCATTTGTGTCATCTACTTTTTTAAATCCATTTGTTTTTTTTAATGATGAAAAATCATCAAATTATGACTGTTTTGGAGCTGTTGTAGGGTATGACACTTTGCGTTTCAGCTTTCCATTGGCATGATTTAGAGCCTACTAAGTACTGTGTAAATAGCCACCTGATAGAGTAGTTGTTTTGCAGTCCTAGGTTTGGAATTGCTCACGCTCTTTGTTTGGGACTTGCACCATGGCTTGCTGCCGAGGTTCCAATTCTCGTCGATTCTGGTATGATCAAGCACAAAGATGATTCAACATCGACCAGTGAATCTTAAAAAGTGTATGAACCTGTCATGGCCATAAAAGTGAACTTTTGACCTCATACATTTCTGGACAGTTGGAAATAAAATTATCAGCCGCAAAACTTGTAATTTAGAGGTTGTCTTTCGACTCGGGGGCTCATAATTTAACTGCAGAGGTTACAGCCTTTCAGTTACACATACATAGTTATTTACTGGAATTCAGTTCATAAATGTTGTTTTATTTGCCTTTATTCTCTCTTGAATTTTGTTTACCATTCAAATTATGCATAGTAGTGGGAAAATGTGGAATGTGAACTGATTTTGTGAATAAAGCCAACTGTTCGATGCATTTAAAGTCGGATCTTTCAAAGAAAGAACAAGAAGCAAGTAACAAATACAGTAATTGGCCTCACGTTTTAGATGGTTTTCTTCCATATTAAGCTTTAGAAGATCTTCCAATGGAATTTGGAACAAATTTGAATGTCTATACAATAAGTATTTCAAATATGGGTGATGGAAATCAAGCTTCTTTCTTTCTAAGAAATTTCACAATCGCAAACCAGAGCACTTCACTTATATAAACTAAATTCTAATTAAATGCATACGCAACAATAAATTCAAGTGCTACATTAGTACATTGAAAATTTATAAGAGGTTGATTATTAAATCATGAAGTAATTTGATCTGTCATCAGAAACATTAATATTCTAATGATAAGAACATCATATTTAAATCAGAGATTGTAAACCAATTACATTACATCTGCAAATTGTGCTATACAAACATAATATAAAACCACCCCATGCAACAGTACAGACCTTGAAAAGAAACACCCTCTATAGCATCACACCTCTCTCTCTCGCTCTTCTTTTTTAATAAACACATTACAATACAGGTAATATAAAGTTTATATTATAAACTGTTACATAATTTCTTATTTTATAACATTGCTTGAGAAATCACAGGAAAGTAACTACCAGTACATCTATTTATCCGCAAAAACTCCAACTTTGAAGCTTTCACACATTAACAACTCCGAAGACAACATCCTCCACCCAAATTCTTGTCACCGTTCTTTTATTACAAAATGGGACCAGCTGCGAGAATTTCCTCAGCTAGTTTACTGTCCCTCTCCAACTGGTAAGTATGCATCCCTTCGTAGTTCTTTGTGAACAGAGCCCCCAGCTTCAGTAGCGTCTCCTTGTACGCGTCTTTGTCCGACCACTGTTGTCCAAAGGATCAGAAATACAGAGAATTAAATCTCCCAAAAGGAAGAAGTTTTAACAAAACTGAATAAAAATGAAAATGAAAATGAGAATCATTCATATTCAACTAACAGTGTTTATTGGATCCAGGATTTCTGAAGGAACTCCCTCAATGGCATCAGGAATCTCAAGCCCAAACACTTGAGTCTTGGTGTAGTTTGCCTCCAAAAGGGATCCCGAGTGGATCGCGTCGATTATCTTCCTCGTGTAGGCTAACTTGATCCGGTTACCACTCCCATATCTGCATAAAAACGGACAAAAAGAATATCAGTCTTAGTTCATGACCAAGAGCACAATATTTGACCTGGGCTACCATTTATTCTATGAAAGTATGATTCTTTATAGAAAGGAACATATAGATGTCGTTTTGTACCTCCCTCCCGACCAACCAGTGTTCACGAGCCATCCCGTGGCGCCGTGTTTTTTCATCTTCTCAGCTAGCATGGCTGCATACTTGGACGGGTGCAGCATTATAAATGCTGCTCCAAAACAAGCTGAGAATGTTGCCTGTGGCTCTTTCACACCATCCTCAGTTCCAGCCACCTGATTTTGCAACAAGATTTAAGCTCAATGAGATTGCCATCTTTTAGCATTATGGATACTGGATAGAATAGCATGACAGAATAGTAGTAGATAAATACCAAAGCAGTGTAGCCACTGATAAAATGGTACATGGTCTGGGGCAAGCTCAGCTTGCTCACTGGTGGGAGAACCCCAAATGCATCACAAGCCAGAAGAATTACATTCTTTGGATGAGGGCCGACGCATGGAATTTTAGCATTAGGTATGTATTCTATGGGATATGCAGCACGAGTGTTCTCTGCGTCGACAAGAACCGAAAGATAATAAATCAATTTGAATAAGGGAATTTAAAACTTAAATTTGTTTAAGTAGTAAATTTGAAGTAGCTTCTTACCTGTAACAGATTTCTCCGAGTAATCGACTTCTCTGGTGTGCTCATCAAACACCACATTCTCAAGTACTGCAGCCAAAAACAAGCACAACAAAGAATAAGCCCCACAAGCAATCTACATTAACAGGTAGCTAACATTTAACAAACATAATAATGTCTATTACTGCCAGCAGAAAACAACCAAAATACAGGTTAAGGTTGATTATTAAACCAGAAGTTAGACATCTCGTAGAATCCATTTTCACCCTACTTAGGAATTGGACGATTTTATGTGGTCAAATACCAAGCGGAAAACTCCTATCTTCATTTCATTAACCAATATTGATTCTCTAGATATGAAATGACGTAGCTACAATCACACACAAGAGAGTAAGTTGGGAGGTTGTTACCAGTCCCAAACTTGATAGCATTCCAAATATCAGGCTCCTTTTCCCTCGACAAGTCGATACATTTGGCATAACAACCGCCTTCAATGTTCGAGACGCCATTATCACTCCAGCAATGTTCATCATCTCCAATTAAGTACCTATTATGATCGGTAGACAACGTGGTTTTTCCAGTACCTGTATAAACACAACCAAAACAAAGAGTGATCCTCAACGCTTGCCCCCAAGGCATTGAGAATGTCAAGTTCAATCAAGTCGCAGAAACACATACCTGACAATCCAAAGAAAAGGGCCACATCTCCATCTTTGCCCATGTTGCAGCCAGAGTGAAGAGAGAGGATCTGGCGCTTTGGCATGAGATAATGCATTAAACTGAAGAGGCCCTTTTTCATCTCCCCAGCATATTGAGTACCAAGAATAACCATTTCCTTCCTAGCAAGATTCATATCTATGCTGGTGGAAGAAGTCATATAATGGGTGTAGCGATTACATGGAAACTGCCCAGCATTGTATATTGTGAAATCTGGAGTGCCAAAGTCCTCAAGCTCTTCAGCAGTTGGTCTAATGCACCTGCCATTCAACAAGTATGTATTTAGGAATTGCTACTATTAAATCACCATTAAACCCGAGGTATATTTAATATTTTATACAAAATTTTAACACTCTCTCTTTCACTTGTGAGCTTGAAAATTAAGACAAAACTCTACAAGTGAAATGGAAAACAAATGACAAGCATATATTTGAAGCAACACCTTTCGTTCTCCTTCTATATTAAATCACTACTTGACCCAAAAACTCGATAAGTTAAGTATACTTAACATTTTATACAAATTCTTGGCAACTACAAAGTTGGATATATTTCCAATTACTGTCACATGAAATGATGCAAAACATGGTTAGCAATGAAATCTAATAGTGTTTTCTTAATGGTACTTACATATTGTGCATGAACAGGGAATGATAAGCTCGGGCAGAGACGATACGGACTTTGATTCTGTGTTCAGGGTCCCAGTTCAAAAACTGATCATTCACAAATACCTGGATACAGAGTAAGATATCAGCACTAGCAATTCATCGCATTAGTTATTATTAAATGGTGAATCTATGTATGAACATGATCTTCATATTCCTTAAAACCAAGCCAAGTTCAACATAGTTTAATAGAAAAATAACTTTTCTTATAGGTTGAAAGTTCAAATCTTCAAACTAGAGCTCCAACTGGAAAGTATATTGAACTCAGATTTTTCGAAAACTCCAATCGATCCATCCATTTTCTACTTTAAAATTACAAATTTGAATTGACAATATCAATGTGTTGTTCAAACTGCTTGAATCTGTTCAATTAGGCCGGATTGATCATCTTTTTCCTTTTCCTAAAGAAAAATTCAACTTGCACTCCTATTGGTTCCTACGGAATCTTGAAAAGGAGAGGTAAAAAATGACAAATTCCTTAAGATTTTCACATATATTTCTCGAGTGCATGATGATGTATCGTCAGACAAGGGGGGGAATATTGTGGAATATAAGAGCTGCTGAGTTTTGTTTGTTTCTTGAATTGGGAACAAGTGGAAAACATATTTAAATGCCCGAAAATTAAGGAATGGATAAGTATAAAGTATCTTAAAACAAGATCTGAAATCCTGGAAATGGAATCCATTATGAAATGTAAGAAAATGGAGTGACGTGGACCCAACGCATACGTGTTTGCGTGTTATTTTATATTAATTACAATAAAATATATGCACTGGATTTTGATTGTCACCGCCAGCCCAATAAATACCAAATTCGCCTTCTAAATTGGGACATCGCACTTATCCACAGACTTTCGACCGAAGCAGCCACTCGCTGGCAAAAAGGTCAACTAAACTAATTTCTCCTAAATAAATTAAGACTTTTAGATTGTCAAAAATTTTATTCCGGACTTGTTTTTTCTTTTAAGGTTAAATTACCTCAAAAAAAAAAATTCCATTTGTTTCGAATCTTCAAAAAAAAATTTCAAAAATTTTAACACTATTCTTATCCTTTGGAACAAAGATATCGAACAAAATATTAATGCAGAAGAATATGAAATGACGTGGCAATTTATGTTTCACTTTTATCCTAAAAGTCTTCTTCCACGAGAGTTTGGTTCTCAATTATCTATCTAATTCTACTTTAATCTTCGTTTAAAACTATTAAGTGTTTATAAAAAGTCTATCGATGGTATTGGAACTTTTTTAAATGATATGGGTGTTTATTAAACAAGTGACGAGCAATTAAAGTGTCAGTTAAAAATTTAAAAGCTTGTAAGTTCTCTTATTTTTACCTTATCCAGCGAGTTCAAATAATCCACGGCTCTCTCTCTATTGATTAAGAAGGTGTGTTCATCCATCTCAATATTGGGCGACCCCCTACAATACAAGATCAATTAAATGTCAAATTTCCACTTAACGACGCCGTTTGAATGTTTTTTTTTTATTTTTGACAAATTAATAAAATTAAGGTATCAATATTATTTTGGTCCCTCAAATTAAAATAGTATTAACTGAAATTTGTTTCAATAACTGGAGGCAGAGGCACTTACTTTCCCCACCAAAGCTCGTTTTGAGTGGTCTCATCTTTGACCACTCGTTTGTCTCTTGGGGACCTTCCCGTTTTGGCTCCAGAAAGCGTGGCAAGAGCCCCCGTCGCCGTTATGAATGACCCTTTCTCGTACTTGATCGCTTGCTCGTAAAGCTCTGTTTTTTTGCTTTTTGTAATTCAAATCAGCACCGTTGAAACTTGAAAGAGATGGACGGTCCAGAAATTGTGAGAGATCTTACCGGCGGGGGAGAGATTGTAGAGGATGTGGGTGAACTTGAGAGCACTGTCGCTCAAATTCAGAATGGGCTCGTCGAAATAGTGATGGTCCAGTACCGTCGCTTTGTGGGCCTCGGCCTTTTTCTCTGGATCGCCTCTCACCACCTTCGGCCCAGTTTCCCTCGTCAGCGACGCCAGCGACGCACTGCAACAAATCAAATTAAAACATTTTTATTTAAATTTAATCCAAATAATTAATTATTGCCACTCAAACGGCGTCGTATTCGTACCTGATGGATTTGAGCTGCTGCTTCTGGCGTTCGGCGTCGGAAACAGGGGAAAAGGCGCCGTGAGCGTCGGTCATCGGAGTTGTTGGCGTCGATTGCTTTTTCTGAAGAGAGTGAAGCTGATCGATGGTCCGAGCTCTCACCGGCGTCGTGCTATCGTCGTGGCATATATCTCTCTCCGTCGCCACCGTGATTCTCTCCGTGTGGATCTTCGGGAGTCCTCTCCTTCCAGTATCTCCTCCGCCGCTCGCGAAGCTGAATTCGCCGTTCTCTTTCCCCTCGTTTTCCATTCTCGTATCCGCTATATCACACATATTACACGGAATCGTCGATTAGACCTAAAATTCGCAAATTAAAGCCGTGGAAAAAATCGAAACCGAGAGAGAAACAGAGTTCGAAGCGGAAGAAGAGGCTCCAATGAAGAGATGAATGAAGTGTCAAATGGCTAATCCGTATTTATAGGTTCTAATCGATGGAACAAATGGCTTTGAGGCGCAGGAAGAAACTCTGTGACGGGCGTCACAGTCAGCAGTCGGGATCTACCCTTTTAAAAAAGTCTCCATGACTAAACCACGATGCTTAACCCATGGTTTAATCCACTATGGTTACATAAATTTATTTTTCTTAAAAAAAAAAAAACAGTTTACAGAGAGATATTACATTTACAGAAGAGATATTACTGTTTTTTTTTTCCTTAAAAAAAACAGTTCAATGTATTTTGCCTCTTAATAGGTAAAAAAAGATACAATAAATAGCATACACTCCCAGACTTTTTTTAATTATTATTATTAGATATACGTCAATAACTATTTAATTATATTTATATTTATTTTTTATTATTAGTTTTTGTGAGGTTAGTAATTCAAATTATTTATATCTTATTATACTACTATAAACCTAATTTAACGGTAAAAATATATAATTTATGTTGGAGATTCAAATTTTATTAGAGGAAACAAAATTAGAGATCCAAATTAACATCCTTTAATCATTATAAAAACAAAAGTGAACATGGTTTAAATAAATAAAAATATGTTGATTTGATGTTACAATAATTACGAAGTATCAGCTAGTAAATATGGGGGTATCAGATAAAATTGGACGAATCATTGAATATACGAAGTGGGACTCTCTCTATCTGTTTTATATAATAATATATTTGTTATTTGAGTTCTATACAAGTGACTTTTGTTATTTATATGATTATAAAAATAAAACATTCAAAGCAATAGCAAAATGCTAATTTTAAAATCAGCATTTTTATGTGGAAGTAAGGTGAGGATGCCAGCTCACGGCGTAAAGATGCAGCTTCAGCTTACTTCTTGTATGTACGCTGTAAATTGACGAAACGATCCCGGCCTCCATTCCTAAGACTTTTTAACAGTACAGAATATTTAAAAGGGATATATATAAAAAAAAAAGTCAAATAAAACGTTATTAGAGGGGTTTTTCTTTGTAGTATAATGTAAAATGCAAATAATTATATATATATATATATATAGTAAAAAATAGTGTAAATAATAAAGTTGAGAATTTGAATCTGCCCTATAGGTTGTACTAAAAAAAAGTATAATAATGAAAAATAAAAATAAAAAGATAAAAAATAATTGCTGTTTTCAAATGTGTTTTGGAATATATTATTCTTTCTCATTTTGGTGGGATTTTTCTTTAAGTAAAAATACAAATTAATTTATTTCGAAATTATATATTCATGTACAATGGCTCCGGATGCACCATCAAACTAATGTTTAAAAATAATTGAAAACACACATAAAATTACTTTCAAATTGCCCACATTTAAGGAGTGTTTTGGAACTATTCTATTCTTACAATTTTTAATAAAAAGGACCATTTTAAATTGGATAGTTTTAACCGACACAATTCATATGCTTATTTAAGTTATTAAAAAAATTATAAGCTTATTTTAGGTTGTAGGAACCATAAAAGACATTTTTTAATGCACCGACATGAAACAATAATCTTAAAATAAATACTTGGTATTTTTTTTCTTATAGCAATCAAATTATTAAGCTTATTCTTTTTTTCCTTATATTTTTTAAGTTTTGAATAATAGTGTCAATTTGAAACAACTCAACTAGTTAAAATGGGAGTCGATTAACTTAAAAAAATGTCACTTTTATATATATATATATTAATCAAAGATATAGTAAGAAATAGGTGAGAAAACAAGAAATAATTATCTGTATTGTATATAGTCAATGTCTGGGAGCTGGGCATAAAAATATAAGGGAATTCATATAATAAAATCCAACGTGGCGGCTTTGTAGCATCCCCGTCACGTCTGTTGTGGCTGTGGATATATATTATCAAATACCATCAAAATTCTGAAGGGAACTTTTCAAAAATAAATAAAATAAAATAATAATCTGAAGGGCCAAATTGTCAATTCAGAGCTGGTTGGCCGAGAGTGGAAAGCCATAATTGGCTGCTGCTTCACCAAASATTTCGTAAGCTTTCCGTGCCGTTATTAAATTAAAGCACTAACTCACCAACTAATACATTTCTTTTTAAATGTTCCTTTCAATCCCTTTTGTTCCCATTGTGTTTATTATTATTTGTTTCTTGAGTACGGGGTGGAGATTCAAATTCATAACCACTTGATCGGAGATATATGTCAATTACCATTGAGCTATGCTCGTTTTGATTTGTGTTTATTTTTATTTAATTCAAATCCTTATTTTTTGTTTATTGATCACTAAAATCGGTTGAAAACAATCATCAAGTGATAAATATTAACTCTTTAAAAGATGCATTAACGGTTTTTTTTTTTTTTGTGACAAGGATACGTTTATAGAATTAAAATTTACTTAAAAACTCAATAATATTTTTATAAATAACGTGGGGTTAAATTTCTAAAAGAACCCAACCCTTTGGTGGGCAAAATAACCGAATTTCTGGTAATTTTATCCACTAGTGGAGAACATGGGCTCTTGGAGAAAAGCCCACATCAACTACTCGTGAAATATTCAGCTCATAGGGAATCGATGGCCCACAATGAACAGATAAAAGCCCATATCAACCAATCACGAAACATTCAGCCCATAATGGAAATCAATGGCCCATGAGAGCACATGGATCCACTTTTTCCTATTTTTTCCATTACCTAATTTATTTATTTTTAGGGATAATCATAGTCAAAACATAACTATACGGACCGTGATTAAAAATAATAGTTTTACTCTTAAATTTAATGAAATATTGCGCTTAATGGTAAAAATATATTATTAAAAGATATTCATTATGGCTTGCATTTTACATCAAATTTACAAAATTTTCCTCAAATTTTCCCTTCCTCTTTTTATCTCTAAATTTTCAAATAGTCAATTATTTTATAAATTATTTAATAGGGCATGTAGTTTACTTTATTTTCTCACTATAACCACCCATCTAAACTAACAAGAAGTTAAAAGTTAGTTTATATTAAATGTTGGATTTCAAATAAAGTGACAACTAAAATATTTTTGTTTGGTAGAAATTTTGATATAAAATATTTAAAAGGTTTAAGAATCAAGATTGATTCTTATATATATATATATATATTTATCTTACAACGAGGTCATTTTCTACCTAAATAGGATACACTAATTATCGGACCGTTATTTACCAATATCGTTATCCACTCAGTCTAACATCATATGTTGTTAGTAGCAGTAAAACGTCATCAAATAGTGAAAAATCTCCCACCACTTAAGAATCAAATTTTTGCTTTTTCCATTACTTTTTATTTAGATGACACGATGATGTGTGAGTGATATATAACTGTAAAGTTGCTATAAAAAAATGTTTGTTTTGCATACGCTATTTTTTAAAGTTATGGGATTGGAAATTTGGCGGAATAAGATTTTAAAGGAAATTATTTTGATATAACTTAGATTGGGTTTTGGAAGCAAAATGGAAATGATTATATTGTATATGGTTGAAGAATATGTTATCTGTTTGAATCAGGGAGGGGACAGGATGATTTTGAAGACAACCTGCTGAAGAACCGGTTCCCAATCCCATGCCCATGTGCATAAAATGACACGTGTGTCACTACACTACAATCTCACCAAAATCAGACCACGCGTGCCACTGCCACCGTCGTTTTCTCCTGCTTCTGCTCCCCACTTTGGGCCGCATTTACTAATGGGCCTCCTTTCCAGTCTACCCCAAGCCGGCCCATTTACCAATTCTCATTTCTCTGCCTTATTAATCTAGCAGGCATTTTTTTTTATTTAACAATTCTTTAAGATATAAAATTGAAATATAAGTTTATTAGACACATGTTAAGTATATTTCTATGATATATTTAACACAATATTACAACTTTAGATACATATTAATCCATTTCTAAAATAAAAAATAATTACGTGCTGATAAATTTAAAACAAAATTTTGTATTTTCTTTTGAATATATAAAAGATGGATTTCTAACGGTGATTAGAGAAAGATGAGCCAGCAGTTAAATAGTTTAGATACAATTTCCAGAATGGACCAAACTTGTAATTTTATTGTGAAAGAAAAAATATTTTTTCCCTTCCTTTAAGCTGACTGTTCTTTTGGAAGCATGCTTGGATATAATACTATAACTAGTCGGTGATTAAATTTTTATCTTATATGAAAACTTTAAACTTACTATTATAACCATGCGTCATTGAATTTGAAAAAACATAAAATGAGATACAGTTAAACATATATTACTCGAGAAAGGAAAAAAGGTTTAACTTTTGATCAGTCTAAATTGATAGGTGCAGACGATTACGCCACTAATTTAGTTTCATCCAAACAGAATTAAAGAATATGTTTAATAGTACAGAATAAATCAACAAAAGAAACAAAAAATAAAATTCCCCATGTACATTTTAGGAACTAATTAAATTTTGATGTTTGTTGGGTTTGTTTGTCGTTAAAAAGAATAAAATTAAAGTAATTAATCAAAAACAGAGACCAGCAATATGAACATCGCTACTTGCTACAAATCCCCAGCGAATAATCCAATCCAAAATCAATTTGTACAAAAATTAAGAGAGAGCTCCAGAAGAATCCGGAGTACTTTGTGGAGGTTTCTGCACTAAAACATCCACAAACGGAGCCGCCGCAACCGCCGCCGCACACGGAGGGCAAGCCATTGCTATGAACCTGGGAAACTCGTCGCCGGGCATCACCACCGGCAGGCTCTGCGACTGGTTCTGCATCCACAATTTAATCGTTGAGGAAAAAAAGAGGATCAAAAGTTTTTCTTTCAGTACAACAAAAAAAAGTTAAATATATCAATAAAAAAAACTCATAACAATAATAATAATAAAAAACTTATATCAACAAAAAAAAAAGATAAAAAGTTAGCAAACCGCACTGATATCAATAAATTAAATATAGTTTTAAATTTTAATAATGTTTTTAGGTATTTTTCTTTTCAATTCAATTCGTATGACTAAAAGGTTTCAATCTAGTCATTTAAATTTTAATATAATTAATTATACTATTTTCATAGTGATGTTAAAATAAACTCATTAACATGTGATACCAATTTTCACATTTAGTTGGTAGATAATAAATAATTAGGCCGGAGACATTAAAAAAAAAAAACAAAAGTTTTGTCAAATTTGGGGAGAAAATTAGGCATTTTTATATGTTTAGTGTCTATTTATTTGCTAGTATTGGAGATCTAATAAAAAAATATTAAATCAAATTGAAATGGAAACTTGTAGAGTAGCTTCTACAATCAAGATAAAAAAAAAGAAGAATCAAAACGCACCGTATGGAGAGGCAGAATCTTGTCTGGCGGCGATGAGGCGGCGTTTTCCGGCGGAATAGGAGGTGGATGGCGGTGGTCGGGACAGCCGAGGAATGATCGGAGCTTATCCCAGTGAAGGCAACAAGAAAAAAAGCAACACATGCAGAAAAAAAATGTGAGCAGAAGAACCAAACCGACGGGAAAGCTTAGGGAGGCCGGATCCTGTGCTTCGCGATCATCGTAATCCATTTTTTTAGCTCTCAGCGGCGGCCGGCGGTGGTTACTGGTTTGGTTTGGGCTCCAAGTAAAGTGAGGCTCCGCAGAATTTGTAGGTGGCGGGTGGCGACAACTAAATTGAATTTATGGAGAAGATAATATAAAGTTTTTAATTTTTTAATCGGCTTGGCCCTTGGGTATTATTAATCGAAAATGACTGGTTTCTCTTTATATATAAAGTTCTAATTTACGTAGTACAGTACGGATTTAAATGGACTCGTCTGCCAGTTTTTTTTTTTTTTAATCATTTCCTTTCTATCGAGATTAATTTTTTTAAAATATCTTCCACTCCGTAAAGTAAATTAAAATAATAATATTGCACGCACCAACTTTCCACTTTTTAGATTATTATTAATTCAACAAATTTTTAAAGTGTTTTGTTTAATTTGGTTAAATCAAATTTCTCGATGAACTTAGCTTGGTTGAATCGATTTCTTACGTTGAGTAATCGAATTCATTTTGGCCAGAAATTTACTTTGAATGTTCTTTCTTGCTTTTTGATTTTTATGGTTTTGGTGCTGTTTTGATGAATTAGGATTGTATATTCCTTTTCCGATGGAATTTTGATTCATAGAGTCAAATATTTATGTGGCACGTTAGACCAACCTAAACTATATCATCAATTAATAGATTAGAATTGAAAATAGAACTTGAGAGATCTTATAAGAATTCAACTAGAAAGTTGCTCTCACTCAGATTTTAAAGAATTTCGTAAAAATACAAGACTAAAAGTAGGCATCGTTGCAATCAATCTAATATTGTTTCTTGCGAGCAAGTTGCTGCATTTAAGAATATATATATTTTTTTCTTGTTAATGGTTGAACCAAAAAATTTAATAAGAATGTTTTTATGCATATACTTTTTTTAAATGTAGAAAATATTTTTTTATACTAATATGACGGTTGAAATTGAGATGAGAGTCTGTTCATTGGTTTTTTTAGTACAACAAATATAGAGATGAAAGGTTAAGCCTTCAATCCTAAAAAATAGTAATATTTCTTACGACAAGTATTTCATAATTATTATTTCATCTTCGTTCACATCTATCAATCAAAGGATAAGCATAAGTCTTTCTTTACCAAAGAGAGGGAGAGATAGGATAAACATCTTTAATTTCTCATCACAGCTACTACTTGCTTGCTAATTAGTTTAATTTTCTTAATGTTTTAAATACTTTGTCTCCTCTATTACAATTAGTAATCAATCTGTTGAGACACAATTCTTGTCCTCTAATGACGATTCCTTTAATTTGTTTCCTAATTAGGTTAAAATTCTTAAAATTTCTACCCTTTCTTATTAAATAATCAAAATTTTCAGCATATTATTTAATACCATGTGAAAATACAGTTAAACTCTGCATAACATCTATTTCGATAAAAGATTATAAAATATTAAACTTTGTTCCTATACTTTTTGATGTAGTTTATCTTTAATGATCTGTTTCCATTGTTTTTTTGGACAAAAATTAATAATATTTAATAGATGAGAGAAACTTGTTTATATGTTTGAACTAAATAGATGGTCTTGAAACAATTGATTAAAGTACTTATTTAATCAAGAGTGAAAGAAACCGAATCGAACCAATATTATTAAGTTCGGTTCAGTTTCAGTCGATACTAAGTTTCATACCCAATTTATAAGCGCAACCTCTCCCTCCTTTCACGACTCACAACACCTACGCCGTCCACCCTCCCCTTGTCGACTCAATCCAGGTGTCCCTCTCCTCTCTCTCCGTGAACAACCCACCGACGACAACCCTCTTTACCGGCAGCGACCCTCTCTATTATCTCTCTCCATGAACAACCCACCGGCGACAACCCTCTCTACCGGCAGCGACCCTCTCTAATATCAATTGAAATTGAACTGAGAATTAGGTATGTGCGCTACGCTGACGATCAAATAAGTGACCAAACTAAAGGAATAGGAGTAGACACCAAGGGTTTTGTGACAAATTTTTCATTTATTTGGTAAGGATGAGTCATTCGCTTTTATAGACGCGAATGACAGACTAGGAAGGACAATGGTTAGAGGTAAGGGGCACGCTGGGCTGTAGAGGCCTTGACGGAGGGAGGTGGACGTTTCCGACAATCAGTGGGTGGTGCCTCCGCCTAATGGTTTGTCCCCCTTACAGCCGCAGGTCGTAGATTGCGATCCTTGACATCTTACTCGCACAACTATGGTGGTGATGTGTTCGTACGCACGCACAGCGCATGGAACTAATCGTCTATGATGCTGTCGCCCCCAATACTCGACATGTATCTTGTTCAGATTTCTCCCTCAACATATATATTCTTTTAAATATTGCTCTAGAAAATTACCTTTAACATGTAACATGTAATTTGCCAGCTAAAATAGTATAATTTAAATGGGGAAAAGACTTATAAACTTACTAGCTGTATGTTTATTCATTATGGGAAATTAGATTGTGTGATTTCATTGGAGAAATTAGGTTGGGGTATCTATCACATGAATTTATTCCACTTGCGACTACAAGATAAAGAAAGAGGTCAATGCATTGCTCTTCTTGTTTTTGTTTTTTTTCCTTGTTTCTCCCCTCTCTTTTAGGTATTATTTTGAGTTGTCAACATGAACATGATCAAATTGACAACTATTTCTAGTCAAGAGATCATAAATTCGAATTTTTCATTGTAATTTGTAGACATCATGAATTCAAATTTTTTATTGCAATTTGTAGTACTAAAAAAGTTGAAATAAACCTTATATAATAACCTTATAAAATAATATGTGAATAGGCGTTATACTATATAGTTTTAAATTTGATGGGTGTATTGGGAGAAGATAGTGGACTGTGAAAGATGGGTTTCTTTCACATCATGCTTTCTTTGTAGGAATGTCGAATGACGTGTCTCGCTCTCCTCGTCATGTCGGACGAGACACGCCACCATAATCACATTACCGCAAATTTTGGAAGATGGGTTTAGTACTTATAACAGTAATTAAAGGTTTATTTTCGTACATTTTTTAACTTAAAAAAAACACATAAATAAAGTTCGAAAATAATATCAAACACATTCTTTTTTGTCGTTTATATGACATATAAATATATTAAGGGTACTAAAATTATGGAGGTTTAAGTATTACTTGAGTCCTACTTTTGATTGTGGCTTTTTTAAAATTTAGATGCTGGATCTTGTACTTTCCATTTTTTTTTTAAAATTTTAATATATGGTTTTGGTTTCTATAATTTAAAAATGAATTATTTTAATATTTATTTTATAAAATTTTAATGCAAATTCTATATACAATGAAAATAATTTAATACAATTTTGTGTCTATATATTTCAAGAAATTTATGAGTGTACTGTTATGTTACAATTATAATTGAAAAAATAAGATAAAAAAAGGGGCATAATGGATACTTCAGAAGTGGGAAGACCTAAATGAATAAATTTTTTTTATAAGGAATCGAAATCAACACTTTAGTTTTCGTTTCATAATAAATATTTTAATTAAGGTTGAGCTTTTTAAATTTATGGTTCCAAATACTTTTATTAATTGTAATTTAAAGAGAGTTCCAAATTCAGAAATAGAGAGAAGTTTTACCCATACAAAAAGTTTACACGGTATAATTAAATCAAGCATAAAAAATATTTAAAATGTAGTACAAACTCATTTTCTGTGTGGTAGGTTGAAATGTCAAATAATAGGAAATTTTCAACTTTACTCTCAACTATTTCAAAGAATATTTGAAATGAAAAAGACAGCCAATCAAATGAAATATTAAATTAACAAGTGAAATGGATGTGGGTTGGTTCGAGCGATGGGGACTACAAATAATAACCAAAAAAAAAGACGTAATTAAAACAAAATGTTCAAAGTATATTCGGTTTTTATCATATTTAAAACATGTAATGCATATCAGTAAAACTTGAAACGAGGACCAAACTAGAAAGATTAAATTTATAATTAAAATTAAAAATTAAAATAGGATATTACTCGGAAAGTGACTTGAGAAAATTAAAACCTTATTAAATACAAAAATGTTCGGAAAACGACGCCGCGTGGAACGGGCTAAAAATGATTATTTTGGGCTTGAATATGTCTAGCGGGCTGCCCGCCTGCCCCGGGTGCAGTAGAATCGAGAATCGGCAGAAAAACAAAAATTTTGGGCTTGCATCCTAGATGTCGAAGGCCTCTTTGATCATTAAAGTTCAAAACTTCTGCACAAAAATAAAATATTACTTTCTTTTTTACATAATTTTAAGTACTGATATACACTCAAGTGAAGAAGTAGATATCTTAATCGAGTACTCGTGTTAGTGACATATTATTTGTTAAATACAATATAAACGAATTAGTAAAAAAAATATATAGGTATTTTTTAGGATGCTTTTGGTACTCTCATTTTTTTGGTGCGTTTGGAGCGGATTTGACATCTTAAATGTGAGAGGTTATGTTTGAAAATACCTAAAAGGGTTTAAGATAAACCTGTATTTAGGACGAAGTTTAAATAAACTTTCAAGTTTAAGAGAGTCATGGTAGGAAAAGTGAGTTTAGAGAGCATTAGTGAAATTCATGAGTTTGTCTGACAAACTCTACAGGACAAACACGAGTTACACATTTTGTGAAAAATCTACGCTAGTCTATATCCTCACATCTTAGATTCTCACATACGCCCTTAAGCTACCTTAATTTAAGTAAAAATCAACTATTTAATATTAATTTTTTTTATACAATAAATTGGAAGTATAATGATTTGAAAACTTCCCACTTCAAAGAAATCGTACACTTTCAAACATAATCTATTTATATAAGAAGCAATATACATAATAATATATCTACTATATATATTATATTGATGGAAATGTGGAGATGGCATTATGGATTAGAATTTAGGTCTTGTCAAATGGTACACTGGGGCTTTGGCTTTAGAGGACGACAACCACAAGAACAGAACGACAAGAGAGAACTGATTTAACTAATGCAAACGATTTTTTTTTTTTGTCGACACACACTACCCTTTGATCTCCACTGTCGTTTTCCCTTTTTCTGTTTCATGTTCTTCCCCGTGTAGCCCTAGGCGTCAGCTTTAAGGCAAATTATCAGATACGACATGCCTTTTAGTTTGGTTATTCTGTAAAACGCTGACGTTTTTGTGCAATATATATTAAACAAAACGCACCGTTTTCTGATTTGTGTTCACACTCGCGCAGTAGCCCTCAGATATTGAAATTTATTACAGGGGAAATGTGTTTTTTTCTTCTTCTTTTTTCTTTTGTTTTTGTTTTTTCTTTCTTTCTAGTAATAGTAGGTTGATAATAAAATTTTTAAGAAAAATTATAAAAATCAAATATGAAAAATAGTGATTCTCATTTTTTTTTAAATTTGATCGATCACCCAAATGTATGGAATTTTACAATTAAGTCCTTAAATATTGCAAAACAATGCACAAATCATATCTAAGCTATAATAATTATTCCAACCAGATTCAATAATTGTTATAATTTAAACCAATTTTTTTTTTAATAAACATTTATAACATTTCAAAACTATAATGTTAACTATTAAAAAGTTTCAGTATTCCAAATCAATATTGAATTTCCATGTCGACTTAAGAAAACAAAAATACTAATGTAAAGGATTTGAGTACGATTGTGATAAATTTCATAGTACGAGGGTTTGATTGAAGCAATACTTCAAGTTTATGTGAGTAGTTTGTGCATTTTGCAATTTTTAAGGGTTAATTTTGTAAGTTCAGGGAGTGATTGATCAAATTAAAAAGGATGGGTATTATTGTAACAACCCTTATAGATGAATGGTAGATTTTGCAAATTTCCCAATTTTCTATTATTTTTACTATTTTTTTTTCGGAAAGATTATTTTTACTAATTTAAGCATAGCCCAATGGAGAATTCACATATTATCTTCCTTCGATCCAATTTCATGGGGTATGCGCACAATCCCTATACCCGTACATAGACAATGAGTCATTATTTGGTGGAATTGTGTTTTCGTATATAAACAATGAATCATTGTTTGGTGGAATTGCATTTCATGTGACTTGAACCAAAGATCTTAAAGGATATTCCTTGAAATGATACTCAATGCTAACTCTTAAATTATTAATCTAAAAAAAGGAACATTTGATTTATCCGTTATATGATTAACTTGTTAAATCATGTTACATTCACACAAAATATATAAATTTATTAAAGTCCAAACTAGGTCAAAAACAGCAAAACTATTCATCTTTAATCTTCTAAGTAAATTCAATGTAATTATTTATCGATTGGTTTTGCAAACATTAACTAAAATATATTCAAATGATTTAAGTTCTTAAAAAAGAAAAAAAAGAGAACACGATCTGAAACCTGAGCAGCACAGGCACAAGAACACGAACAGGAACAGGAACAAGAACAGAAACAGCTGGCGTTTCAAAAACATGCCTCAAAGCTGAAAAATGAATCTTGTTGATTCCGAGGATTGCCTAAACTTCTCACCAATCAGACCCCGCGATAAATGAAAGATCATGAGATTGCGTACGAATCACAACCGTACATCAGTCTTGCCTATGAAAAAAGAACATCTCCCTTTTTTATTTTTATTTTCTTTTTATATACCATCTCCTCCACAAATCGCTCAAAAGACGACAGAAAATAAAGCAAACACTTAAAAATTATAAATTTAGGAAAGAAAAAAGAAAACCCACTTTTTATCTCCTTCTCTTCTGTTGCAGAAATTTGATTCTTCCTTCCTACCATTTCCATATAAAAATTGTCACTTCTTTTTGGGGCACCTGGATCTAACCCTTTTCTTTTTTATTTTTCTAATATCGCAATCATTTGCTCATTTAAGGACTCGATTAAATTAAATACACATTAATTATTGAAAAAAAAGGAGAACATTTCAAACTAATTAACCAAATCTCATCGAAAACATTGAGACTTGAAAACCCATCTCAAGAAACTCCTCTTTTTTTTTGTTCCTTGTTTCTCTTCCTAGTTTAAAATGATGGTGTTGTTCTACAGGCATCTTCCTCCATATCCAGCAGTTTCAAATAATGCTTGCTTTACTTCGTCTGTGCTCACCATTGTCCTGTGGTCCATTTCCTATTCAATCACAAAAACGCAGTAGCTTTAGAACTTACTTTCAAAACCAATACCCAAATTTGATCCTCCATTAAAGCTAGCTTAAGAATGAGTTGCTTTTAACCCATTCAAACCAAATTTTCATACTTTTTTTAAATAATCAAAAATAATTTTAGAAGTCCAATGTCAGGTCTGTAAGAGTAATACAAACAAAGTTTCAATTGGCTAATAGAGATCATCATGATCTATGATATACAGGTCTTTTGAGTGAAACAAAAAACAAAATCGCGAAAACTATCATAAATACTAAACACTTTATTAGGGTGTGTATATATATAGAATGCCTTTATAAAAAAAGCGTCTTTTTAAATATAGAAAAAGAACTATCACAAAAAAAAACACTATTTTCAAAAGTCATTACAAACTCACCCTAACCCTAATTGCATCGGGGGCATGGAAAGAAACCACCACATGATCAACTTGAAAATAATTACCCAATGAACACCCAAGAAAAGACAATAACTTTGAAGAAAAAGGGTAGAATTTTAAAGTAAAAAAAAAAAAAGAGAGAATATAGATATATATTATTATATTATATTTAGATGGCTTGCCTCAGAGCAAGAAGCTTGAATAGCAAAATCATTGAAAGAGCTGATGACACAGTGTTGAATGTCAAGCCCCAATGCTTCAAGAGTATGTACTGTAGACAACAACAACCCAGGCTTTGGCGCACAGCAAACCTCAATCCGAGTGTCCATGTCTCTCCTTTCCACATTAAACTGCCCAAAAATTAATCTAATTTAATTAAATTATATATAACCCTAAATCATTAATCAAAATGAACTCTTAATTAATCTTTCTATACCTTGGGCGAATTTCTGACCAAATAATCATTCGGTTTCACATCTCTCAAAATGCCCACACTACTACTACTCCCCAACTTGCTCGGATTTGGATTCCCCACCTCAATTTCCCTCTGCAAATTGCTGATTTTCTCAAGTAATTCCTTCACGTAATCTATAGCATCCGCCAGAATCGCAGTTCTGTCCATCTAATCATCCCCAAAATCCAAAAATCCAACTGGGTTTCATCAATTTCCATTAACAATTTGGAATTGAATTTTAGGTAGGCAAATGAATTAAATTACCTTGCTTATTTTGGGGACGATGGATCGGAGCATGGAGAGGCGATCGTTGAGGCGCTTCCTCCGGCGCCTCTCCGCCATCAGATTCTTCGACGGCTGGCCTTGCAATTTCTTACTACTCTTGTGGGCGCACGCGCCGGCGCTGAAAGTTGGGACGGCTTCAGGAGACTGAACCACGGCAACGGGCTCAGCCTTACAACAACTTGCCTGAACTTCAAGGTTATGAATCTCGTCCTCCAAAATCCCAAGCTCCTCCTCCTCCATGTTAGCGATCGGATAATACTCCCCGTTATCACAACCCTCCAGCGACGACAAAATCGACGCGCCGCCGTGAAAAGGAATCAAATCGTCACTACTGAGGAGGTAGCTGTTAACATTGTTATTGTGCACGTCGTCCAGCGGCGGCAAACAGAAGCTGGTGGCAGAGGCAGAATCTGGAACCAAATTGTTAGTATTCCACCCACTAATTTCTGTGGGCAGCGCCAATTCCCAATTCATCTCTCTTCTAAGAGCTGCAACTTCGTCTAACAAATATTGTTCGTTCATCATCAGCTCCATTTCCCTTTTCTTCTTCTCTCTCTCTCTTTTTTTTTGTTCTCTTTTTTGATGGAATGGAAGTTGAAGTTTGTAGAGAATATATAGGAGGGGGAGGGGAATCTTGAATTTGGTGTCTTTTTCAGCGAAATGTGTGCAATCAAAGAGAGGGAAATGGAGGGGAAGAGAAGGGAAGTGGGTATTTTTATATAAACTGGAGAAAACATTGACCAAATTACTTGGTGCCACCAGAAGACCTTGTCAGGGGAGGCTCTGTAAAAAAATTGAAATTTTGGTGAGTACAAAAGACGACTTTCCTCTTCCCCTTTCCGCTAGGGCGGAGGGTGGCCCCACCCCCACCGGATGCCTCCAAATCTTTTTGCTGCCTCTCCCAATTTCAAATGAGTTGGTGGGCCGTTTTGTTCCTTCCTCCACTTTTCTTCCTACTTTTGTCCCTTCTATTCGCGGTTCAATTATCTGCATGAATGAATCGATGCTACATTTGAATTAGAGAGATCCTGAGATCATGGAAGAATGGTAAAAAAAAATTAAAAGAATTGATAATCACTACCTATACTAACATGTGCAAATTTCTTTTCGATAAGTACTCAATCGTACGAATTCCGAAGTTAAGTTTGCTTAATTAATCTTGGGTCTGGGGCGTTACGTTATAGTTTTAATTCGTCTGGTTATCTTACAAGTTCCAATTTTTTTTAAGATTTAGTTAAATCTCATGAATTGTTACTTTTTTTACCGAGAAGAAAACAATACAACTTTTTTTACAGGAGAAGAAAACAATACAACTGCAGAACATCACGATTCGAGAGACTATCATAGCAAGAAAAGCAGGAACTTTTTCAAGCCAAACATGATTCAAATGTTGAGAGAGAGCTACGCGGGCTAACCTGTGCACCCTACCATTGTCTTGTCTGTAAGTGAAGTTAAAAAAGATTGAGATTGAGGTGGAGCAATGATCACGAACGTAAAAAAAATCAGACCACCCACTTTAGAGAGATCCTCAACGGGCTCTTCCAAGAATGGAGAGCACCTCATGAATTGTTATTCGTTGTTACTATAATGAACCTATGATTTTTTTTTTTTAAGTTTGTTGGGCTAATTTATTTTAATTGATTGTATTAGATGTGTTTGAAGTTTATAAGAGTGGATAAATTTTCAGGTGGGTAAAGATGAGTTAGAGATTATTTATGAGATTTAACTAATTCCAAATGATAGGGATTAAATTTGACCAAATTAAAATTGAGTTGAAACTAGGAAGATTGAATTTGTAATTTAACATATTTCTAACTACTATATATTTTTTTTGTTAAATTGTAAAGTGAATCTTAAAATTTTTAATATTATATCTATATGAATTGAGTTGAAGCACTTTTACTATATGGTTTTAAAGTATATAAGCTAGACGAGGGCCAAATTTGTAATTTAATTTAATATATATTTTTTTAACGTAGCAGCGATCTTTATTTGTCGGAGCCCTTTATTATCCATTAGATGTCATTATCTCGTTAATTTACTTATGTACAAGTGTAAAATAGAGTCATCAGTTTCGTATAATATATTATGGGTCTTTATTTTTAAAAGGAAATGACATATATAGATTTTAAATATCATAAACATATTAATTTAGCCAATAAGGTTTTAACACGTCACCTCTAAAAAATTGAATAGTACTATTAAATTGCACCCTAGTGATTTGTCCACTACTCGTTTATTTTAAAAAAATGGCATTGGAATATTAATATTTGATGTTAATTTTAATGAAATACACTCACGAGTAGAATAAACTATGCGTGTTAGTTAGACAAAATTAATGGTAAAATTTTGGGTGCAAATAGTATTATGTATAAATCCCATTGTAAACTATAAGAGTGATAACAACTATTTAAAAAAAAAACAAACCAAATAGATATAATTTAGATGTTCCATAAATAATTAAGGATGTGATTTATTAAATAAGAATATATTCATGAACACACAAACAAGTTATATATAAGACATACATCTACACCAATAATCAAGTTTATTTAACATGTATAAGAAAGGAGCACGACATTTTTGGCCCATTTAATTTAATATATTAATTTGAAAAGAGTGTTCATTTTCAACTTTAAATGCAAGTTTCAATTATGGAAAGTAACAATATCAAATAATTAAACAACAAACGACCATCAACGTGATAATTGTTTATTACATGATATATAGCTGACGACTCTTTCTCAAACTCCACGACATCCACGTAGAAGCTTTGTAATTTATTCGACCATTTAAGTGTTGTCACATTATATATATTTAATATATATAATAAGAAGTTTTACTCTATCTAATATAAATTAGTTAAGATAATATTAGTTATTTTGTTACGAAGCTTTTTTAATTCAATGGAAATATTGAAGTGGTAAACTTTTTACAGTAAAATTAAAGTGGGGGCCATGATATATTGATATCTACCAATGTTCTTGAACTTGTAGCAAGAAGCCAAATTAATAATAATTAATAACGCGGTTTCAAAATTTAATTGTACTTCTGGTCATGGGCTGCAAGCTGGTTTGCCCTACTCGTGAAGAAAATGGAGGCAATCCACGTTTTTTAAATTCTTTTTTTATCCTAATATTTGCTATTTTATATAAGGTTTTAACCTTGTTATTTTTTTAAAAAAAAATTAAAAGTGAATTCCAAAACGGAGGAATGGAAATGGTTTATTTTTAATGGTTTCAAATTGGATGGGTCTCTTTGGTATACTTGATATGTTCATCATTTTTATTTCTTGTTTTTTTTATATAAATAAAAACAGAATTATGTTTGTTGAATGTTAATTTCTCACTCCTAATGGTCTAAAATTTTAAATTAGAAAGATGGTATGAAAAATTATTTTTTTAAATTAAACATTCAAAATTTTTATGTTATATTTAATATTTAATGTATATTATGTATTTATAAGTCAATAATAATGAAATGATATTTTTATTTTATGTTTTCAATCAAATAAAGAAACAATAAACTTGATTTTGTTGTTTGAAAATTTTAGAAAAGTTTCTTAAAAATGAGAAACGAGAAATAGAAAAACTACTAAATACTTATGTTTATAAAAAATTTAAAATGAGTAACAAAAAAACAAAAAATATAAATATTACCAAACAAGATCTTAAATAACTGCAACTTGAATTGTTATGTGTTAGCGTGTAAATTTGTTCTTATTATTTATTTTTCTTTCGGAAAATTGATATAATATTCTCCAACCCAAGTTTCTAAAGTGATAACTTGGTCCAAGTTTAAAAAGAAAGAAGATTTTCAAATATACTTTTTAGCATTGGCATATGTTAATTAAGATTATTTCAAAAACACCTTTTAATAGTATACTAAAAGAAGAATGTTAGTAAGTAAATAAACATGGTTTTCAAAAGTAAAAAGTTGTCAAAAAGGACTCTAAAATTTTCTAAGTTGAATTGAAAATTTGAATTGAGAGATAAGTGAATATTGGAGTGGGAGAACATGATTGACTAATGGTGGCTTGAGGCTTACAGCAGCCATCAGGAAAATTCTAAG